TTTATACTTAATGAATAGATTCTCATTTCTGATTCGGAATTCAAATATATCAGCTTTATTTACATAATCCGATTGATAAATATACAAACAATCGAGTTTAAAATCCAGGAGGAAGATAATCTGTGTGTGACCTTTTTCCTTTTTGTTTTGTTTAGTAATACAAAAAAACGCATGGTTTGTTAAATCAAATATTACATCGTGGAATTGTATGAACACTTTTTACAACGAAAAGTTGCTGTGTAAGTTAGGGCTCCATGGTTTTTTTTCTCTCAGAGATACTTGTCACCCAAGGAATCGTAAAATCTCTGACCAGTCAAGTCACTTTTTGTCGCCGGATTTTCTGAGTTATCAAATTTGTCAAACACTACTCATGAATCTCTTCTCCAGCGCTATTTCTTGGCCTGCAATCACAAAAACAGAACAATCAGAGAAGACTTTAAAAGACAGCTACAGAAGGATCATCATACAACAAACCCAAAAGAGATTCTCAGAAGCCTCAATCTAATAGAGAAGCTAAAGATTTCAAAAAGCAAACCTTTTTTAGATACTTCTTGTGGAGTTTCATTGCACCAGTACAAGCCTTTTTAGCATCCAAGTTTCCGGTTATATCGTTTAAGATCTGAAGCAAAACACACAAATCAGTAAAAGAGTTTATATCCATTGTGAAAGAGATTAAACAGATGAGGATCTCTCTCTCTGGCATTACCTTAACAACATCATCGAGTCCTCGAGCTTCAGTCATAAGCTTAGAACTCTTGTCTTTCAAAACACTAGCCACTAAGAAAACCGAAATAGGCAAGGGACCTTCTGCGCTTTTCCCACCGTTCTTCATGTTCTCTCTTTCATACTTGCCGCATTGGTTTATCGACTTCGGCTTGCCTTTCGAGGAACCTTCCGTTCTCTGTCCCTCGAATTGAGGCTCCTCGTACAGAGAATACATTTCCGGATCATACTCTAACGCCCACATCATCTAGAAAACGAAACATCAGGTCTTTCCTTAGTGTCTAGCCCAAGAAGAAATGTTTATAAAAACGACGAAGAAAAATCTTTATTACCTCCCAAAGGTACAAGGAGTCACAAAAAGAGAACTCTCTTCTGAATTGAACCATTATCATCCGAATCGCAAAGAGATAGTCACCTCCACCTAGTTTCTCTGCATATTTCAAGATCCAAACTTTCTTTCAAGATCTTGCTCTCTCTCAACCAGCTAAAAAGGTGAAGTGAGGTGAGAAAGGTTTAATAGATACCTAAGTGAGTGTGAAGTTTAGGGTCAATAATCTGAGTGATTGTAGCCAAATGAGTAAGCTGTTCTTCAACTCCAACTGATTTTCCTGTGCTACGGAAATTTCCTCTCTTTTAATTTCAGAAAGAAAAAAAGAAGAACCTTTTAGTATAATCTGATCACAGAGAGACTCAAGACATGAACACAAAGCATAGAGGTAAGTAAAGTACCAATCTGCGCATCAATCTTTCAAAACACCAGAAAGCATCAGCTTCGTCTTCAAGAAGCATAATCATAGGGGAACAAAGATCACTCATTCCTACTCAGAACAAACAGTAGACAGAATCAAACGACTTGAACAAAGGATTACAATGTGTTTGCTCTCTGTGTTTTAACGGCTTTACCTTGGCAATAACCGACATCGTCGTCTATCCAAGCGTAAAGAGCTAGAATATCCCAAAGCTTAGACAAGTTCTCCTTTTTCTCATAGAACACCAAAGTCCTATCCGTACGATTTACATCAAGACCTGAAAAATCAGAGCTTACGCATCAGTACAATTGAATTTCCTCCTCTCAGAAATGTGAAACTGAAGCAGTATGATCACAGACCTATCTGGTGAAGTGTTAACATCCACTGAATAACTTTCTTGTCCAGAGGACCTCTGCTTGCAAGCTCTTTGAAGAAATCAGAATTTTCACCTGAGATTATACTTAAAAGATGCTTAATAATCTACACAAAATTCTTCAGTAAAAACTGAAATAGTTCCTCAAGCACAAAGATACACACTTTGTTTTACCTAAATTAGTTTCTTGAAGTACAAGAGGATCCAAAATGGGTTGACCCTTTTCTGTAATCACAGGTGCGGTGATGAATCCACCACTTCCGATGACCGGAAACATTTGTTTACATTCTTGCTTCCATGAAGCATACTGCAATCTGAAAAAGGGAAATACAAAGATATAAGCAGAGATATAAGCAGCAAAAGAGAAATGCAAGACAAAACAGGATCTTGATGAAACTAAATTCACTGTTTATATGAGTGGAAAGATTCAAAATGATCACCTTCTACGTTGTCGGATTTGCTCTCTTTCTTCGAATGTGCTCTTTGGATCATAACAACCAAGTAAGAATTCCCAAACTTCTCCTCTAATCGATGGATGGATCCCCTAAACAAATCAAGAAAGGAACCAAACGGATTTGGAATGATTGAGAAATCTAAAGAAGTGATTTTTTTTGCATATTCAGAACAGAGTTAAGTTAAATGTTGGAGTCTTTGCAAACAATGTTTTGAGAGACTTACTCCTCGTTGGATTCGACTTAGAGTCTTGCCAATATCGAGGAGACCTTCCTGTGTAAACGCAGCGTGCCATTTTCTCACGCTTAGAGTTTTGCCTGGCTGCAACAAACATATAATCAAAGCAAAAGGACAGGTTTTTATCAGCATGAATCCATGTGATGTGATGAAACTAAGCAAGATCAGTGCTAGAATCTATGAGCCTAAAACAGCACAAAGGTCATTCATATAGCATTTAGTGTTTACCAAAAACTAGCAATTTGCAAACTAAGATCAATAATCTTTATCAATTAATCAGCATCATAAGACACAAACATGTCATAGCCTTTATTTGCTTAACCAACCCTTAATCACCTGATGATAACTAAGAACTTCCAAATTCGAAATCATTCCAGCAAAAAAATTAGCTTAAATGTTCATTGTATTGGAGAACAAAAGAATCTAAGCAGCACAAAAGAACGATCTTTGAGCGACACAAACATAAATTCTTGAGAAATTGCAATCGCCAATCTTATACTAGATAACAACAGAAACGATTCCAATGCTGAACAAAACCCAAGAAAATTTTGAAGATAAAGGGACAAACTTTGATCTTGAATCTGGTATTGGGGACATCGGTGCACTCAGGGCGAATCTGGTAATAAGAATCTGCTGGTTCTGCGGCGGCTCCCCACATTTATGGAAATTTTTCAATCCCTCCAAAATCAAATAAAAACGAAAACTTTCCCGGGAAAGAAGAAAGAATTAAGAAAAATCCTGAGAAGAGAGAAACAAGATTGGAGAAGAACGTAAAAAAAAAAACTGGCACCCTCTCAAAAGATCGATTCTTTCTCTGTTGAAATTAGCAAGGAAAGAAAAGAAAACAAATTGAGATCTTAAGAGGGGTCCAGTTTTGGAGATTAAAAGAAAAGATCAAAGACAAGAACTTTTCTTTTTGGGTTACAATATATTTTAATTTTTCTACCTAATCATTTGGTTTCCTAATCCTCTTTCTCTTTCTCAACAATTTTTTTTTTTGTCTCTAATTCCTTTTTTTGATTGGATGGTCTCTAAGCAATGATTTCCGATGGTGAATATGAGCTGTGATCGTTGTTGGTCAAGCTCGTTTGATCTATCTTTAATTATCTTTTCTAATCCGTTTTTAGCAAACTAGTTCAAGAGAGAGAGACAGAAAGTTGCTTCTGTTTGACGTACGCCAGTGTGTTAGGCCCAACCCAATACCGTCCTTAACGACTTTGTATGTTTATCGGTTTAGTCAACCCGGTTTATGGTTTGATTGTGGTCACTTGAAAAAGATTTCGAATGAAGTTAATTAGGTCTCACACATAAAAAAGTTTCATTCTTTTTGAATGCTCTCTCATATTCCTCGAACCTTTTAGTTGTAGAACCGATTAGTTTGGTCTTCTTTTGTAGGTACAATATTACGTATATGGCTCTTTAGCCTCGTCTAACCTAATCTTAAGGAGGGTTCGACAAAAACAAAATAAAAACCTATATTACAGATTTATCTCGTCGAGTTAAGTTGTCTTGTCTTTGACGTATTCAAGAAACGTTAATCGTTACGTAGGTGAAAATCTTTTGGAACAAACCATATATTATTGATGCGAAAATTTCAATGAATAGTATACATACGAAACCATAAAAATAATGACACTGAAATCTATACTATATAAAAGTTGAGGCTATAAGCCTTGAGAGCGTCCACATAGGATTATAAAACGCGATTTGATTGGTCCACATAAGTATTTCCTAGATTAAGAAAGTTTCCGAATTTTAAACAACCAATAGTATCAATCCACATCATCACATAAAATTAGCTATTTGTTCAATTAGTTAAATTCCTTTTTATATTTTTATATTTTAAGAAAGTTTCATAATTCAAAGTTAAGCAATAGGAAAGTTTCCAGAATTTATAAGTGTAATATTAGTAGAGATATGTAATAAATAAGAAAATTATACCAACAATATCATTATATATCAACATCTAAAGCTACAATTGTATTAACTCGATTTTGATCAAATGTAGCTTACATGAATAAACATATGTTCACGTCAGAGCTTGATATAAGATCAAACAAATCCAACATCGAGAAACCACCTGGAAGCAAGATGGAGGGATATATATTGAAGACAAGATACTTTGACATCACATATTGAAAGTTCACATAGATCGATCAATTCTTCTAAAGGATATGTAGTGAATTAATGAAAAATCATGAAGCAAAGGAATGATTGAAACGAAGACAATGGGCATCACACTGAAGGTATACATGTCCTTCTGTGAAATAAATAAATTCGCTTGCTTTATTTCGAATATTATCTGGTCTATGGTGTTCAATTGATTTTCTTTGTATTTTGATAAAGGAAGCACATCCAATTAATTAATAAATAAGTTACATTACCACAAAAAATCAAAGGACTATGAAGAGAACAAGTGAAACAACCAACATTTTTTTTTTTTTAATAAATATTAATCAATTCTAGCGAAGGTCTTAAAAATAAATTAAATAAATAAAATATCAATAACAAATAAATCAGCTCAGCGGAAGCAAATAATAATTAAACAAGTCTAGCAAAATAATGCAAAACAATAAAACAGTAAACATCCTATCATCCCCCTCTTCAGCCTTGATTCCGCGATCACACAAATCTTTTACCTGCAACACATTGGAATGGAGTTGCGTAAGTATTTAATAAATACTTAGTGAGGCAATCACTCTGCCTACGAGCCATTTACGCAATTTACTAGATATTTAATAATATTTATAAACTTCAATAATTATTAAATACCATTTTCCAATTATTAAATAATTTTTAATAATTAAAACTCAATTTCTCAATTATTAAATAATTCTCATAATTAAATAATAATTTTCCATATTTTAAAATAATTAAAATAATACCAATTAATTAAATAAATATTATTTAATTAATTAAATCCGAATTAAATCTATTTAATTCCATTAAACCAATTAAATTCAATTAAACCAATATAAACCAATTAATTCAATTGAACCAAGATAAACCAGAATCAAATCAATTAAATTCAATTAAACCAATATAACCAATTAAATTCAATTGAACCAACAAACACAAATCAATTCAATCACATGAACAACCACAAAACACACAATTCAACATAAACAACCAAAATATAAAAATAACAATTAAACACAAAACTCATCAAGAACAACCACAAACCAAATCTAATCTAGCAAATCACGGACCCACAGTCATGCACTCACCTTGACAATTGATTGAAACTGAAGGAAAAAGGAAGGACGATGAACAGTGCCGTGAACAGTACCGATGAACAGTAACCCGTGAACAGTACCGATGAACAGTACCCGTGAACAGTACCGATGAACAGTAAAATTCGAAAATCTCTCCAAAAACTCAACTTTTCTCCTCTACAGCATCTGAACTCGAAAATTCTCCAAAGAGAAGACGGCTGCACTCTTTAAACTTGATTTTAGGGCTTTCTCCACTAAACCGACCCAAACCAATTCACTTAAATTGAACCGACAAAATTCCCAATTTTTATTTTTGGTTTATGGATGTTACAACTCTTCCCCACTAAACTGGATTCGTCCTCGAATCCCAACGCAAACGTCACAAAGACCACAAAACCCAACCTCGCAAGGCCGCAACACCGGAGATCCTCACTTGATCCCCGAGACAAACGTCATATCTTATGTCATAAACACGTTCCAAGAAAATTTCACTCCTAACTCATCATCCAAACACACCAAACAACTTGTACTGAGGCCCACTTGCACCCAGACAAGTCCACACCGGTCCGCACTGAGGCCCACTTGCACCCAGACGAACCCGAAAACGTCCATACTGAGGCCCACTTGCACCCAGATGAACTAAACTGCTTATACTGAGGCCTACTTGCACCCATATAAGCTACACTCAACTGAGGCCTACTTGCACCCAGAGAGTCTGCCAGAGAACGAAGTCTCCAAAAACATGATGAGTTATTCAGGATCGCAATCCTTAGAGTAAAAATTCCGGAAAATGTCTATAACCATAAGATTAGACCGTCTCACAACCAAAAACTGGTCAAACATGTGTAACATCCGAATACCTTTTCACAACACAAGGCAAAATGAGGAAAAACTGCATCTCATTAAAACTCCAAAATGTAAATCGTTACAACGAAAACGAAAATACAATAACACCAAAGCCAAAAATAACAACTGAGGCTACAAAGATGAAATAAGCTCACTCCTCGACCTGCTTGTCGAACCACTTCCTGAACTTCAACTTCATCTTTGCCTCTGGCTCCCAAGTCTCCTCTGTAGAACCACTGCAATCCCACAAAATCCTAAGTAAGGGAATCCTCTTGTTCCTCAGAACCTTTTCCCTCCTCTCTAAAATCCTCATAGGCACTGCCGGCACGGTCAAATCTGGCTGAAGATCCTCTGGAATCCTAGCCACTAACTCCTCTGTAGGATGAAGACACTTCCTCAGCATCGACACATGAAAAACCTTGTGAAAGGCTTTCATAATCTCAGGCAACTCCAGCCTGTAAGCTAATGGCCCAACTCGCTCCACTACTGGAAACGGACCCATAAATCGCGGACTCAGCTTGTTCTCTGCTATGGATCTGTTAGGACCCCTCAACATAGCCATCTTGAGATAAACTCTATCTCCAACCTGAAACTCAAGCTCTCGTCTGCGTCTATCTGCATAACTCTTCTGCCTATCCTGAGCCTCCTTCATGTTCAGCCTCACAACACGAACCTTCTCTGTCGTCTCCTGAACATAAGTAGCTCCATACATGCTGCGCTCCCCCACTTGGGTCCAGCATAGGGGTGTCCTACATGGCCTCCCATACAAAGCCTCGAATGGAGCCATGCCAATACTCGCCTGAAAGCTGTTGTTGTATGCAAACTCAACTAAGCTTAGGTGATCTGCCCAATGGCCACCCCAATCCAACACACACATCCTCAGCAAATCCTCCAAAGTCTGAATAGTCCTCTCTGACTGACCATCTGTCTGCGGATGATAAGCTGTACTCAGATGCACCTTAGTGCCCATCTCTGCCTGAAACGCCCTCCAAAACTCTGAAGTGAATCTGGGATCACGGTCTGACACAATACTAGCTGGCACTCCATGCAGCCTCACAATCTCTCGCACAAACTTCCTAGCCAAGACAGCAGCTCCATCTGTCTTCTTGATGGCCAAGAAATGTGCAGACTTAGTCAACCGATCCACAATCACCCAGATAGCATCGAAAGTCCTTGAAACAGGTAGTCCAACCACGAAATCCATCGTAATCCTATCCCACTTCCACTCGGAATGGGTAAACTCTGCAAAAGACCACCCGGAACCTGATGCTCTGCCTTCACCAAGGCACAAGTGTTGCACTTCGCAACCCAATCTGCTACATCCCTCTTCATCCCGACCCAATGATAGTACCTCTTGAGGTCATGGTACATCTTGGTCGCTCCCGGATGAATGGAAAACTTGCTCGCGTGAGCCTCTCCCAAAATCTGATGTCTCAACTCCACATCCTTAGGCACACAAACTCGCCCACGAACCAAGATAGTCCCATTCGCAGAGACCTCATACTCAGAACCAGTCACTCTCGTCGCATCTAGCAAACTCTGATCACTCTGCTGAGCAACTCTGATCCTGCTAAGTAGATCCGCCTGATCCACTGCCTCTAAACCCAAAGGCTCATGCGAAATGGCACACAAACGCAAGGTACTGATCTCGCCAACTAGAGACTCCACATCTCGCTCAACTGCGGAATCATACCTCCGTCTACTCAACGCGTCCGCCACTAGGTTAGCCTTGCCCGGATGGTAGTTAATGCTCACCTGATAATCCGCCAAGAACTCAACCAGCGCGTCTGTCTCGCGTTCATCATCGGCTGAGTGAAGATATGCTGCAAACTCTTGTGATCCGTGAAGACCTGTACTGTCTCACCTAGCAAGTAAGACCTCCAAATCTTCAACGCGAAGATCACTGCTCCCAACTCTAAGTCATGTGTAGGACGGTTACGCTCACTGCCCTGCCACTGTCTCGAAGCATATGCTATCACTCTGCCCTCCTGCATCAGCACACAACCAAGACCAATGCCTGAAGCATCTGTATACACCATGTAAGGCTTCCCTGGCTCGGGTAACGCCAACACTGGTGTAGTAGTCAACATCTCCTTGAGCTGACTAAAGCTCTCCTCACACTCAGCTGACCAAATAAAAGGGACATCCTTCCCGGTCAACTTCGTCATCGGCTGCGCCATGGTAGCAAACCCCTTGACGAACCTCCTGTAGTATCCTGCCAAACCCAGAAAACTCCTGATCTCGGTGGCACTACTAGGTCTAGGCCAATCTCTGATAGCCTCAATCTTAGCCGGATCCACAGAAACTCCCTCTGCAGAAACAATGTGGCCAAGAAATCCCATCTCTCGCTGCCAGAAACTGCACTTGCTCAACTTAGCAAAAAGCTTCTGCTCCCGAAGCTTTCTCCAGAACCAACCTCAAGTGAGTCGCATGCTCCTCCTGACTCCTCGAGTATACCAGAATATCATCAATGAAAATGATGACGAACACATCCAAATACTCCCTGAACACGTCGTTCATCAATCTCATGAAGGCTGCCGGCGCGTTAGTCAAACCGAAAGGCATAACCACAAACTCAAAATGCCCATAACGCGTCCTGAAAGCAGTCTTCCTGACATCTGCCTCATCTATCGGGATCTGATGATACCCCGATGCCAAGTCAATCTTGGAGAACCAAGTAGCACCCCTCAACTGATCCAAACTCATCAATCCTCGGGAGTGGGTACCTGTTCTTCACAGTGACTCGGTTAAGACCTCTGTAATCGATACAAAGTCTGAAACTGCCATCCTTCTTCTTCACAAACAACACCGGTGCTCCCCACGGTGAAACACTCGGTCGAATGAACCCCTTAGACAAAAGGTCCTCTATCTGCTTCTTCAGCTCTGCCAACTCAGCTGGCGCCATCCTGTAAGGCGTCTTCGATATCGGTGCTGTCCCCGGCTCTAACTCAATCGTGAAAGGATCAGACCGAGATGGTGGTAATCCCTTCAGTGACTGAAAGACATCCTCAAAATCCTGGACAACCTCAATATCTCCCATAACAACTCCAGCTCCTGACTCAGACATAGAAATCGTCGCCAGATACGCCTCACAGCCCCGCTCTAACAACTGCTCGGCCTGAATAGCAGATATCACAATACTCCCGGAAGTCGGTCTCACTCCCTGATAAACCAACCTCCCTGCATCTCGCTCGAAGACCACTCTACCTCTGTAGCAATCCAGATGAACTCTGTAGTGTGACAACCAGTCCATCCCGAGAATAACGTCATACAGCTCCACCGGACTGATGACTAAGTCTGCTGGCATTGACTGCCCCGCAATCTCGATCTCGACTCCTCTAGCACGGCCCAAAGTAGACAAGAATCCACCTCCCGCCACCTTGACCATGCCCGCGCTCTCGCCCGCGCTACTCCGGATGCCACTCTTCTCGGCACGCTCCGGTGTAATGAAGCAATTCGATGCTCCAGAGTCGAATAAAACGTGGGACTCAAAACCGCCCACTAACAAGGTCATTACGAAACACATGCGTTGAGAACCTCAACAATTTATCACAGATAAATGAACAACACACAACAACAACAACCATTATGCCCTCGATGACCCGCCACCACAAATGTGCATCTCCACTCAGATAGTGGACTGCCAACTCAACCTGGTACTAAACAAACATCTGATAGACTGGAAATTCCGCTCCAATCTCTACGCCACTAATCTGCCGCCTCTGGGCTAACTCCGCCCTAAAGTACGGCGTACCAATCCTCTGCATGTGCCCCATCATATCCAAATAGGACGGCACCATCAAACCCACAGCCTGCGCTGAACAAAACCCGCAGCCCTCCTGCTGCAGCCCTCTGCTGCACCTGCCACTGGAGGTACTCCCGGAGCCCCCTGTGGAACCACTGGCGGAAAACGAGCCAATAACTGCGTCAGCAAACCCACCACTAAGTCATCAAGACCCTGAGCCGGAGCACCACCCCAACCCGGAGCAGCCCCCGCTCCCAAACCAACACTCGCATCCACACTGGCCTCACTCGCCACGGATACCGACTGGGTCACCGACGCAATCGCCACACTAGGCACCACACTCTCTCCCGAATCCGCCGAAGTCCACAATCTCGGCCCCGGCCTCTAGCTCTGCCACCACGGCCTCGAGCACCGCGCCCTCTCGCGCCACACCTCTAGCTACTCAGTCCATCTCACTCATGGAACCGAAAAGAGCACACTAGAACACGCAACCAAAACTCAAAACAAACATAAACTCACCGCGGAATCTCTTGTAGCTGAAGGGGATGATACTAAGCCTAGCAATTCTAACAGTCCTAAAACCGTCTAGGCTCTGATACCAAAATGAAACAACCAACATTTTTTTTTTTTTAATAAATATTAATCAATTCTAGCGAAGGTCTTAAAAATAAATTAAATAAATAAAATATCAATAACAAATAAATCAGCTCAGCGGAAGCAAATAATAATTAAACAAGTCTAGCAAAATAATGCAAAACAATAAAACAGTAAACATCCTATCATCCCCCTCTTCAGCCTTGATTCCGCGATCACACAAATCTTTTACCTGCAACACATTGGAATGGAGTTGCGTAAGTATTTAATAAATACTTAGTGAGGCAATCACTCTGCCTACGAGCCATTTACGCAATTTACTAGATATTTAATAATATTTATAAACTTCAATAATTATTAAATACCATTTTCCAATTATTAAATAATTTTAATAATTAAAACTCAATTTCTCAATTATTAAATAATTCTCATAATTAAATAATAATTTTCCATATTTTAAAATAATTAAAATAATACCAATTAATTAAATAAATATTATTTAATTAATTAAATCCGAATTAAATCTATTTAATTCCATTAAACCAATTAAATTCAATTAAACCAATTAAACCAATTAATTCAATTGAACCAAGATAAACCAGAATCAAATCAATTAAATTCAATTAAACCAATATAAACCAATTAAATCAATTGAACCAAGATAAACCAAATCAAATCAATTAAATTCAATTAAACCACATGAACAACCACACAAACACACAATTCAACATAAACAACCAAAATATATGAAATAACAATTAAACACAAAACTCATCAAGAACAATCACAAACCAAATCTAATCTAGCAAATCGCGGACCCACAGTCATGCACTCACCTTGACAATTGACTGAAACTGAAGGAAAAAGGAAGGACGATGAACAGTGCCGAATCGCGGATGAACAGTAACCCGTGAACAGTACCGATGAACAGTGCCGATGAACAGTAAAATTCGAAAATCTCTCCAAAAACTCAACTTTTCTCCTCTACAGCATCTGAACTCGAAAATTCTCCAAAGAGAAGACGGCTGCACTCTTTAAACTTGATTTTAGGGCTTTCTCCACTAAACCGACCCAAACCAATTCACTTAAATTGAACCGACAAAATTCCCAATTTTTATTTTTGGTTTATGGATGTTACAACAAGGAATCGAAATTACCAAAGTGTAGATTAAATCAAAAGTGAATTGTTGCTCCTAAATTAGTAAGCTTTCGATGGGGAAAATAATATTGATTATGAAGAAACAAAAAAAATCAGAATAGTGAGTACATGACACAAATTGAAAGGAAAAGGCAAACACAATAGAAAAAGACTGTATTTTGTTCCTTTTCTATTTTTCTTTTCTTCGTTTTTCAATGTTTTGTAATATTTACATATTCATGTGTTTATAAGTAGTACTTTTCAAAGATGTCACTTGAAAGAGAAGGAATATAAACAAAAGTAAATTTATGAAAAACAGAATAAGATAAATTCCTTCTCATTTTAGTATTTACATATGATATTCAAAGGGCCTGTTTTGAATATATTTTGTTCAATAAGTCATTCTAGCTTGATTTTATTTTCAGTTTTTCAGGTAACGAAATTGTGTTTTATTTAATTATAATTTATTCTAAATTTAAGAGGAATAGAGCCATGCAGAATTTTACAAGAGGAATGGAACCATGCAGAATTTTAAGGGTCGAGAATAACCTACAGAAATAAGAGAAAACAAAATGAAGAAAAAAGTAGACACAAAAAAGAAGAGTACCAAGATAAAACCGAAGAATAGCGAAAACAAAGATATTGAATTGCGAATACAAAATAGAGACAAAAGAAGACAAAGATGAATAAGGAAAAACCATATTAAAAACTTGTGAAGAACAATTTGAAGAGGAATTCGAACAAGAACGAAGGAGAAGAAACCTAACAACAACAAAAAAACTTGCGAAGACCAATCTAAAGAGGAAATAAAATAAGAACAAAGGAGAAGAAACCAAATCAAAACAAAACAAAAAAAAAAAGAAAAAAAAGAGAGCAAAGACGAAGAAGAGCAAACGCGAAGATTTATCATCTAGCTTAAATTTATTACATACAAATATTGTTATTTATAGCATTTTAAGTTCTAACATAACCAACTGAAGTTATTTTAAATAAACATCATGTTATATACAAATATTATTGACATCTAATTTTAAGAATTTCACTAAATATATTTAAAAATATATTTCTGTTTAGAAAATGACTAACACGTCACAATAGTTCATAAATTAACATTACATTTTACAAATAAGTTTAGTGATAAAGTAAGTTTGTCCTATTATAATGATTTGAATATCTTCAAGTAAGTTTTGGTCATTAGACATACACAAACATTTTTGTTACCGGGATATGATCTAAACAATATTTTTGTATGTCAAGATTTGATCTCAATACGATATTGATATATCTAAAAACTTTTGTTTTCCAGAGAGTTTTGGTATTGAAATATTGATAAATTTTAATTGTTGATTTTTGCAGTTTAAAAAAAAAAATTAAATATATTTTAAACTGATTTAAGATACAGACCCGCGCGTGCGCGGGTAAAAATCCTAGTAACATAATAAAAATCTTAGCTAGGCATCGTTGAATAGCTTACAACGACGATTACGAATCATGACTCGCTTCCATAATAGTACTTCATACAAAGTAGATATATGAGAGCACAAATTAGGATTGCTAAACAGCTAAAGACGAATATAACGGCCACAAACCCCCAGGTCCCCATCATAGCTCCTCCTCCCTTTTGAAGTATAATAACTTCTCTTTATGTCTTGAATTAATCTGAATGAGTTGTAGACAGACCCGAGAAGAAGAGAGGTTTTATATTACTAATTAACTTCAAATAAGGAAAACGTATATACTAATGATTAACTATATCTTACGATTGGTAAACTCTATAAAGACTATGGAGATTTTCCTTTACAAAGATATAGAAACTGTTTATATAAGTTCTTATACAGATATATTATATGAATATGTGCGTATCATAATAAAGTATGTGCTGTTATTAAATGCTTTTCAATTGATTCACGATCTTATAATAAAGAGTTCATATATGGAGTGTTTTCTCATCATTAATATAATGTAATAACTTTATAAATTAATAAAACTAGGGCTAAGCCCGCGCGATGCGCGGGTAGTGTATAGAAAAAACAACTTTGTTTATTTATTACAAAAGGAGGACAATCTTCTGGTTGTGACTATTATAGAGTTTTGTCATTTGTATTTTAATTCTCACATTAATTTTGTAAACATTTTGAGCATGTGTCATTCTCTAAACCAGTATAAACCATCTAGAAATTAATGATCCCTTATCAAAAGCGGCTTGTGAATGTAGGCTATATGGAGTCGGCTGTTGAATTACCGATTTAAGGATCTCTTCTAGTTGAGGTATTGATTCAGACCCGGCCCTTGGCATGTGCAAGGAGTGCATTTGCTCATGGTCCAAATTTTTTTGTGAAAATTTATGTTAGATTTTAAGGTATTTTCGAAACTTTTAGGGTCTTGTTTATATTGCTTATTGTTGTAAAATCTAAATTATTGCACTGGACCTACAAAACTAATGGGCCGGGCCTGCATTGACTCCTGGTTCATACATGATCCCTGAAATTCCAAGATGTTATCAGGTTTCTACATTTTTTTTTTTAATTTTGTGGGCGTTTCGGTTAATGAACTAACCTATGTGATGTCTACCGCAGCGATTGGAGTTCCCCGGTGACTCGTGTTGGATTATCTCATAACCAAGCATCTCTACGATGAATATCCTTGTCTTTCTCCTGGACTGCTAGCTGACATGCGATCAACTTCTGTGAACAATGAAAGTTACGCTCAAGTGGCGGTGAAAGCAAACTCACACACACATTCTGCATGCTTCTCATGATCTCCGCACAGATCTGTCTCCACAAGCACATCTCGAGAACAGTCGGTGAGTTTGAACACTCGTCTTTGCAATCCACTTTTGGATGGGACTCCGCTATATCTTTCCCTAAGGTAAAGTAAAATACATTTTTGTCTATGTACTATACTTTTCATGCACATAAGGCCTTTAATGTCTTGCTGTCTTTGCCAATTGCCATTATAAGGTTCTTGGAGATGTGATACAATCTTTAGCCGGAGCGGTATTTGTGGACTCGGGTTACAACAATGAAGTAGTGTTTGCGAGTATAAAACCGCTCTTGGGTGTTATGATAACTCCGGAGACTTGAGTTACATCATGTGAGAGAGCTGACAGAGTTATGCTATAAAGCGCAATTCGAAATGAGTAGAGGTAAAGGTTTCAAAAATGGTGAAGCTTGTTTCACGGTTGAGGTGAAAGCTAAATATATGAGTTTTGACAATGAACCAACAAAAAAAATATCTTTTAACAACAACAAAACAAAAACTAAAATCAATCTCTACAAAAAGAGACAAAAAAACGCGAAGACCAAGAAAAGACGTCTGAAATGGCTTGAATAAGTTATAACTTAAGCTAAGAGCCAAAAGTTCTTGTGACGTTTGGTTGTGATCAAATAACCACCAAGCTTACGATTCTTTGGTTTAACAGCAATGGTCATGCAAGAAACCTTCTCAAGGCCATACTTGAGAACGCCGGCTCTGCCTCTCCGTTTCTTCCATCCCCATCTCTTCATTAACCTCCAAACCGGAGGTTTCCTCAAACTGAATTTTAACCAACAAAAACATATTCTTCTTGCAAAGTTAAACAATGTTACAGTACAACATATTATATAGAGGATTACATTTCTACGGACATATATAGGTAACTACGTTTCTACAACTGGCTAATCATTAGTTTTACCAGTTTCTTCGTCGTTATAAGGCAGAATTTCCTTCACACAATAACTCAACTCTCTCAATGACTCAGAGAACTCGAAAATATTCAAAATATAACGATTAAATGTAAGATTTTTTCTATGTACATGAGAGACTTGACGGTTAATTGCATAAGAAATTGAATGTTTACCAGAAGAACTATATGTGGAGGCAGCTGGAAAGAGTAGTTTATTGTAGAAGTCTTTTTGTGTAGCATATCCTGATAATCATAGAAGAGTAGTGTCTAAAGTTCAGTTAGTGAAACAAAGATTATGAGAACTCATCTAAATGATCATATTTGCTACCAATTCCAATACTAAACATTATAATCAATCTTTTCAACCAAACACAAACACATAATAATAGTTCGTAGTCCCTGATATTTTTTTCGTAATAGTCTGCATCAACTCGACTGAAGGACAAATTTCTTAACTATATATCTCTATCATAAACCAACAAAAATCTCACGATCCAGTAATGACAAGTTTTGTGACAACATAAATTTAGATAAATAAGAAATTTAAAAGCAAAGTTACCGACCAGGGGAACTTACCTTCCTCACTCTTGCGAGTTAGTCCATTTGTGTTGTAGCGGAACTCATCTTGTGAGATTCTAATCTCGTTATTAGCCAACTACAATTACACCACAAGATTTTCATTTTATTAGCCAAGTCTTACCGTCGTTACAAACATTACCATACATTCGAAGTGTTTCTGATTTCTTGTCTACTCCTATGGCAAGCATATAATTCTGGAATATTGTAACACTTACATTGTCGAGATTTTCGGCGACCTTCGTGGTGATGTTCATAGATTTTTTTTTCCCAAATCTCTTCCTTCTCACATCTGACGTTGAGTGAAATCTACCGATGTCAATTCGTGAGAGATTTCAACTTCCTCAATGACGGGAAATTCCCTTGAGATAGAAGTGGCTCTGACCACATAATCGAGAAATTAGTTTGAGAAGAAATAGAAAATATAAATTTTTGATCACCAAATCTCAAAACGCGGAAAGATTAAAGGCCAGAAGTGGAGCAGGAGGAGAGAAGCCGAAAAGACGCATCAGAAGTGGAACCGGCGAGAAAACGAAACAACACGGCGAATTAAAGATGGAAACAAATTACTTATTGGGCCCCATAATGGGCTAACTGCAAATGAGAAAGAGAGAGTCATTGGAGTTGGAAGGAGAGCGTAGATACCAGATTACCAGTTACCAAATTGGGAAGTGAGGAACCCTAATCACGGGAAGACAAAGCGAGGATGTCACCGGAGACGACGGAAGTTAGAGTGGAGATCGGAGCCGTCGGGCGAGGATGTCACCGGTTGGTGTAGAGACGACGGAAGTTAGAGTGGAGATCGGAGCCGTCGGGCAAGGGTAGCTTGCGAAGAAGGCTCCAGAGATTACATCTCGCCAATCCACGCCGTGGTCTGTTGGTGCGCGAGTCTCCGATGGACGGAGAGAACAGAGCTTATTGATTTCGCGAGTTCTCCGATGGACGGAGAGACCGGAGGCGGCAACTTTCGTGGCGAGATCAGAGGCAATCAAGCGATCCGGCGGAGAAGATCGAATGAGTGAAAACCGAATGAGGCAATTGTTTTAGTTTTTGGGGTTATTCTGTAATAAAACTAATTTCGAAGGATTGGATGGGAAATGTTTTCTCTGAGTTTTTGAGTTTTTGGGGTTTTTCTGTAATAAAACTAATTTTGAAAGACTGGGTGGGAAATATTTTCTCTGATTTTTTTTTTAAAAAGGTGCGCCATGTGACGGATTCTGGAGAGAAGTTATCTTCTCGTTATAATATAGATTGGGACATTAATATTTTATTAATTTACAGAGTTATTAAATTATCTATATTTAGATTAATAAATTTTATTAATAATTAATTTAATTGACAACTAAATTAAATTAAAATAATATATTTTTTTAAAAAAATATTGTATTTTTTATAGTTTTTTTCTACAATTAGCAATAAATTCTAAATATATTTTAATTCTACTAAAAATTGAAAATTATACTTATATTTTAGGATATTATCACATATATTTATTTACAAAATATTGTTTATGATAATTATTAATTTATGATTTTAATGGGACCATGTATTTATAGAGTTTATTAATTTATAGAGTTTCATTTTGACAACCATTTATATAGTCTAATTAAAATTCATATTAATGCTATCATTTTTACCCAAAAATAAAGTATGGCTTTGAATAAGCAATTTAAAACAACTAACAAATAAATAAAATACATAGCGAAAGCTTATTAACATGACAAAAGATACTTTATATACATAGAAATGAGTAATTTGAAAGTGTACTGTGTACTAATAATAGTATATATACAAGACACTATTAAATAATCTAATTAGCAATAGTGTAACTAGTTCAATAATAATCTGATTTTACAGTTTTCTAATCTGTTTTTAGCAAACTAGTTCAAGAGAGAGAGACAGAAAGTTGCTTCTGTCGACATACGGTAGCGTCCAATAACGAGTAACGACTTTGTGTGGATAAAGAAGCATTATTATCGGTTTAGTCAACCGGGTTTGTGGTTTGATTGTGGTCACTTGAAAAAGATTTCGAATGAAGTTAATTAGGGGGTGATTGGTTGTGGCTGTAGAAACTGTAGAAGTTGTAGAGAGCAAAAAAAAATTCTAAAACCAAATAGATCACCAATCATGCTCTATACTTTTTTTTCTAAAACCTACAGCCTTCTTTCATTTCTTTCATTTTTCCTTCTTTTTTTAGTTTTGCAGAGCAAAATGTCTAGAGTATAATTTTAAAGGTTCTGAATTTCTTTTTTCTCTCTCTTTCATTCTTTCCAAATATATTGTTTTTTTCTTTACTTTTTTCCTTATTATTATTTTCTATATTTACCTATTTCCTTTTTTACTAAAATCCTGCAATCAATATCCTAAAACAATAATTTCACAGCCACAACCATAAAACATAAAGCAAAAACTCTACAGCAAAAAAAAAAAGCTAGAGCAACAACCAATCACCCCCTAGGTCACACACATAAAACAGGTTTCATTCTTTTTGGATGCTTTCTCATATTCCTCGAGCCTTTTAGTTGTAGAACCGATTAGTTTGGTCTTCTTTTGTAGGTTCCATGTTACGTATGTGGCTCTTTAGCCTCATCTAACCTAATCTTAAGGAGGGTTCGACAAAAACAAAATAACAACCATGTTCTTGTCTTTGACGTATTCAAGAATTGAAAATGACCCCGACGTTAATCGTTACGGAGGTGAAAATCTTTTGGAGCAAACCATATACTATTGATGAGAAAATTTCAATGAATACTATTTAAGTATTTATACAAAACCATAAAAAAGTGACACTGAAATAACAAAATAAAAAGTCTTAGCTAGACATCGATCACAATGACGATTACGAATCATGAGTCACTTCCAGAATAGTACTTATCCCAATTACAAAGTACATGTATGAGGGCAATAAATAAGACTGCGGCACAGCTAAAGACGAATATAAGGACCATAACCCACAAGGTCTCCATCCTAGCTCCTCCTCCCTTTGTGAAGTATAGTAACTTCTCTTAATGTCTTGAGTTAATCTGAATGAGATGTAGACAGAACCGAGAAGAAGAGGTTTTATATCACTAATTAACTTCGAATAAGGAAAACGTATATACTAGTGGTTAACTATATCTTACGCTTAGCTCTTGTATCCAAAAAGAAATGGTAATCTCTACAACGACTATGGAGATTTTCCTTTACAAAGATATAGAAACTATTTATAAGTTCTTATACTGATATATTATATGAATATGTGCCTATCTTAATAAAGCATGTGAAGTTAGAATTAAATGCTTTTCAATTGATTCAGGATCTTATAATAAAGAGTTCATATATGGAGTGTTTCATTAGACTTTATTTGGAGTGTTTTCTCACCATTAATATAGTCTAATTTTTTTTTCGACTACCATTAATATAGTATAATTAAAATGCTTAGTTAAGCTATCCTTTTTTTGCCAAAATGAAAATGGTTTAAATAAGCATTTTAAAAAGACGAACAATTAAGTAAACACATAGCAAAAACTTATTAACTTGATAAAAGATACTTTCATAAGAATTATATACAAGACACTATTAAATAATTTAATTAGCAATAATGTAAGTATATTGCTTGTTACACTATTGCCCATATTTAATTCAGATATATAATTCCTTTTTATTTATATTTTGTAATGTTTTCTTTCTTCTTTCAATAACTTGAGGTAATTAACTTTCACAGGGCCCTGACTAATCTACGAGGGAGCTACATCACGAATAGACACTCTTTGAGACTGTTCTTAGGATTTTTTTTACCTATTATTACTAAGATCATAGCAAATAATTTTGACAACGGTTATCACAATTATAAGCCAAACTTGTTCAAATTCTGAAACGGATTATACGAATATATACTGAATATTAGAGTGTTTTCTGAGAATGACCAAACTTCTGGTCATTGTATCTGAGGGGGAAACTTGTGTAGCGTTAAAAGTTGGTTGCTATCAAACTAAGATGGTCTAATTAGATAACTAAGTTAACTGACAATTATTGTAAGATTGTCTAAATAATTTCCAACTTATATTTTTGAACATTGCTAAACCTCAGCGAATTATTTTGTACTCGTTCTTTGTCTCACCCAAAAATAATGTGTGCGATCCCCCCTACTGCGATTAGTTGAGTAGCCCCATTAGTCAAGAAGATACTAAATGGAAATCGATTTGCGGTCATAGTCAGTGAGGCAAATTCACATAACATTTGAGATTTTCCGAACTTATAAAATGAAGCATCATAATTATTGAAAACATACATATTCCGGTATATATATGAGCGCTCATATATATATAAGATTTTGAATGAAGTTAAATTAGGTCACAAATATAAATAAACAATGTCGTAGTCTCGTAGAGACGTATTCAAGATCTGATCTGAAACTTTTCAAGTTTCATTCTTTTTGGATGCCATCTCATATTCCTCGAGCCATTAGTTGTAGAACCGATTAGTTGGTCTTATTTTGCAGGTTCCACGTTAAGGATGTGGCTATGTAGACTAGACTCTTCTAACCTAATCTCTATAATGTTAAGTTGTCTTATCTTGATGTAATCAACAATTAAAGATGACTCCGACGTTAGTCGTTTCAGAGGGAGAAATCATATATATTATTGATAAGAAATTTTTAATATAATTAAACTATACAAAACATAAAAATGATGACACTTAAACAGAAAGAAACAAAAAAACATTTGCATGTAATAATAAAATAAAAATCTTAGCTAGACATTGTGAAATTAACTGACAATCCCTTTTTTTGCTAAGCTGTCTCTTGCTGGGTGGGACTGAGAGACGATTGATCACGGTCATCGATACAGTATAACGCAATTGCATATATGATGATACCCAAGAAGACTACTAAACAGAAAAAGCCGAGAACAAACGGCATAATGCAACGCAAGAAGACCCACAACATCTCCGTATCCATCCTCAAGCCGAATATGTCTTGAATTAATCTATAAGAGACGTAAATACAACCAAGTATTACTTATTAACTTCGAATAAAAGAAAATTTTGAATAAGGAACTTACATACTAATTTTTAGATACTAACTGAAGAATAAATATATCTTACGATTAGCTCTTGTATCCAAAGAACTGGTAAATTTTACAACGTTACACGTCACAGAAACAGAAACTATTTATAAATTCTAATGTAACTGATGTATTATATGAATCTGCATATCTTAAGCATGTGTTGTTAGAATTAAAGGCTTTTCAATTGATCATGATCATATAATAAATCATATTTATATTTGGAGTGCTTTCTCTCCATTAATAATGTCTCTAGTCGGCATGATTCACATGTACATTAAGGATCGTACATTTTTCATTAATATATTTCGAAAAAGTACAACAAGAAAATAATTTTATTATTAATATTGTACATCATTTCAGGGTTATAGAGTTACTAGTTGATAATAGGTAAGAGTAAGACTAACACAAATATTTGACATTTGAGCACATAATTTTGACAACGCTTATCACAATCATAAATCCAACTTGTTCAAATTTTAAAACGTATTACGCATTTTTACTACATATGATAGAGTTTCTTGGGAATTACCAAGCTCTTTAACCGGTGTCTGAATTCACGTCAAGGTGAAATTTGTTTCCTGCGACTGTCTAAGAAACCAGGCAATTCCACTTTTGTTTGTAATCACACAACAAAAGTTGTGAAGTTTTTTTTTTTTTTTTTGATAAATCAAAGGTTGTGAATTTGGAATGGTTAGCTAGAATATTCAGAAAGAAAACATTAATGTCAAGTGTTTGTACGCGAGTACAAATTTGCGGTCATAGTCAGTGTGACAGATTTACATAACATTTGAGATGTTCCTAACTTGTAAAAGGAAGGATCATAATTATTGAAAACATACATATTCGGGTAAAAATATATATGAGTGCTCAAACTACTCACATGTAATTTGTAATTTGTTACACATGCATATATCTCCAATTAAATGAATAACACATATTACACATGATTTAAAAAATTTAGGCAAAATAATCATAATATTCTAAGATATATGTGATAGAAAGAAAAAAAGTATTACTGGAATCAAATCAATGATATAATTAACGCAGAAAGTTATTAACCACTGACAAAGTAACCAAACAAAGCCCTTTTTCCTTCAGATCAGTTGATATTCCACCTTGGTTTTGCACTGCACTCTCTCCGTTCTCCTATGTAAAATTATTGTATGATAGATTACCGTTAGATATTGAATATAAATCGTACGACATGATTTATCCTAACGTTATAACTAAACATAGGCAAATTTATGATCAATAATATGTCTTTTACATTAATTGTGTCATCACCAACATACTCCACACCCGTGTATCGTGTTGTTGTCCAATAGGTCCATCATGCTATTGACCTATAAAACGAAAGTACACAAATTGTTAGTAGTTGAAACAGTTTAATTTTTGATATATGGACGATATTAATTAAGGTGCATTTGACTTGTGAAAACTGATTATCATATTCATATGTCACATAGGAACTTAATAATTGGCAATTGTTGCATCAAGTTGGTGGGTTATTGTTTTATAAGTATACAATAGAAACTCTATAAATTAATATTTGATAAATTAATAATTTGATAAATCAATAGAATTTTTCGGTTCTAAACTAAATTTTTGATTCAAATTATCACTCTATAAATTAATAATTCATTAAATTAATAAAATATTATAGTCTCGACATTATTAATTTATAGAGTTTCTATATATTCAATTATGAGTCAAAACCCCCAAAATTTCAAATAAATTCTTGTCTCTCTTGGCGAAAAGAGAATTGTGGTTGTTGCCTCTCATTGACGTCTGAAATAATATATAATCACGTTCTTCGAAAAATAAGTTGACAAACAAAATAAAATGAATTTAAAGTAAGATAACGTGATGCTTTAAGAATCATATGTATCACATAGCTAATTTATGTCTTAATGCTCTTTAGTCTTTATAGCTAGTTCCAATTTAACGATGAAGTTATATTTTTTTTTTAACCGAAAATTTTGCATAGCAGAAATCTATCATTGATTTCAATCAAACTCGACTATTACCACTAAATAATCATCATTTGACTGTCAAAACTATATATTGTGTAACACAATACATACATAAGTACACTATATATGCAGTAAATAAGGATACATTGTATAATGTGAGAAAGAGACAGAGCATGTTTATTGGTGTTACTATCATCATCTCTTGGGGAATCTTGTTAAAAAAAAAAAAATCAAAAACGTCTCTTATATAAGGGAAGTTGAACAGAGACGTTTTTACGGGACACGTGTCTAATTTTAATTGGGCGAGTTGTTGGCAAGAAAAAATCTCGTTTCTCTTTCCCTCATTTCACGATTTCCTTCTCGTTCCCTGAGGCGATTCGCCTTTGCTCCCTCCGTGACATGCTTCTCTTCGATTCTTCTTCGAATTTCATTGAGAAATTACACTTGAAATCTAGTCTCCATTAAGACAATTTCGTGACAACTTTTTGACGGGAAGAAGACTAGGGAGGGAGAGAAAACGCCGGCGGAGACATGTACGGGATTGCGGTGTTGGTATCGACCGATTTGCAATTGGGTTTAAGACCGATTTATTTTTGTTGGATGAGCTTCAATCTCGTTTCTACCATTTGTGTAGAACGAAAAAGTCACGCTTTTGAATCTTTATTGATGGCTACGGTAATTCTGATTTGATAACATTTGACATGCGGTTTTAGTAACTGGGATTGCTAATTTGGTGTTTTCTTGGTTTGACATGGATTATTTCTAATGCATTTTTGTTTCTTAATTTCTTGATATGTCTCCAGCATGGCCGAGATCCTCAAGCGTTATGAAATTCAACATGCTGATGAACTTAAAACCTTGTAACCTATCAGGTCACGAGGATCAAGGGGGCACACCGTACACATGCATATGTAATTGAGATGAGCATTTAAAAACTAGCTTATAGTCTATTGACATGGTTGTTAAGTACTTTCTGAAGTGCCTTAACAATGTGGGATCATATGTAGTTCGTTTTCTTCAAATCCCGGCACTAGAAAGTTTATGACAAGGTTCTAAAATTGTTGTATACCAAACTTAAGAATCTGTCGAGGGTTTGTATCTTAGAAGCACAAGAAATTCAGAGAATCATTCTGACAATTTCCATCGCCTTGTCCATGGTATGCAGGATCTTGCAGTAAAAACTCGGAATTATCTTTCGCACAAGGATTTACTAGAAACAGTCCAACGGTTAGCAATAAACCTCCTTTTCTCCCACACTTCCTGTGTTCCTCTGGTAAAAAAAAGTAGCTAATTTTTGATGACTTATGAAACGGAATATGCAGAATGCTTGAAGAAGCAAAAAGTGACAATGTTAGTATCGATTCTCTAATATCCTTGGAAGAGCAGCTCAAGACTGCTCTGTCTGTAACTAGAGCTCGGAATGTATATATATGCTGATTCCAAGTGATTGCTTATGTCCACTTCGTTTTCCAAGAACAGTATTTGGATCATGTTTCTAATACAAAACAATCCTCAATGTCTTGTTGCAGACAGAGCTAATGATGGAGCTTGTGAAGACCCTTCGAGAAAAGGTAAGTGCTTTGGTTTTTATCTGTGTTCCTAGCCATTGTAGTCTACATGCTTGAACCTTCTTAACCTCAGAGTATAAAGAGCACTAGAGCAAGTTAGTTCTTCGCCTAATTTGTGATTTGTGTTGTGGGGTGTTTGTGCAGAGGAGATTCAATGCTCTTGCGATCAAGAGATTGATGCATTATTGTTGAGGCTTTGTTGTATGTGTGTGATGAACCTTGATCTTGATTCATATTAAATTTGTTGTTTTAATAATGCTAAGAGACAATTTGAGTATCACCATTAATGATGCAAAAACAAATGTCTCTTAACCATGTCTCTTAAAATAAGTTTATTGATATAATATAGTTAAGAGACATGTTGGGGTAACACCAATAAACATGCTCTTAGGGCTATGAGAAGGAGAAGAGGCGGTGTCTTCAAGATCATGATGACGACCAAAAGGAATCTCTCTATTTCTTGACCTCTTGATGTTAAATGTTTTGGAAGAATTAAATCCTTCTTGCTCAGACACGTTGAGGGTCTTTTTAGTAGCCACGCAAGACATTGCATCGGAGACTAAGGAAGAGCTGGAAGCCTGCAATCTCCGACATCGACAATACTTGAACAAGCCTCGAAGAAATCCTCAAAGTACATTGTCCAGCTACTTTCCTCTGGAGTTTGGTCGCCAGAAAACGTCGTTATTTCATGTTTGCTAATAATGAAAACATTGTTCATTGAACTCTCCACGAAACTGGAAGAGAAAAATAAAAAAAAGAGCTTTAGATTGTTGGTTTGTTATTCGGTAGCAACAGATGAAACATGCGTGAAGGTTGATTATATACGAGCAGTGGTTTTGAGAAATTATATTTTTAAGCATAGAGTATATATAATGAATATATATATATCGTTTTGTACCAATTAATTTTATTTTGCTATCAGTGATGGGAATGTTGGTTTGGAATCTTGGTTTGTGGGTTCGCTCTATCTGTTTTTTTCTCTATTTGGTTGGAATAAGAGTTGGTTAGAAATGTTCAAACTTCAAACCAATTTAATACGGGTTTAGTCAACCCGGTTTGTTGTTTGACTGTGGTCAGGACTTTGGTCACTTGAAAAAAATTTCGAATGAAGTTAATTAGGTCACACACATAAAAAAGTTTCATTCTTTTTGGATGCTCTCTCATATTCCTCGAGCCTTTTAGTTGTAGTCTTGTAGAACCGATTAGTTGGTCTTGTCTTATCATAGATTTTTTTCGTTGAGTTACGTTGTGTTGTCTTTGACGTATTCAACAATTGAAAACCTTTTTGGAACAAACCATATACTTGATGAGAAAATTTCAATGAATACTATATATAGAAAACCATAAAATAATGACGCTGAAATAACAAAATAAAAGTCTTAGCTAGACATCGTTGAATAACTAACAATTACGACTACGAATCATGAGTCGCTTCCAAAATAGTACTCCCAATTACAAAGTAGATATATAAGGGCAGCAAATAAGACTGCGGCACAGCTAAAGACGAATATAACGACCACAACCCACAAGGTCTCCATCCTAGCTCCTCCTCCCTTTTGAAGTATAGTAACTTCTCTTTTATGTCTTGAATTAATTAATTATGCTGAATGAGACGTAGATACAACCGAGAAGAAAAGGTTTTATATTACTAGTTAACTTCGAAAAAGGAAAACGTAGATACTAATGATTAACTATATCTACGTTTACAATTCTTGTATCCAAAGAATTGTAAACTCTACAAGGACTATGGAAATTTTCCTTTACAAAGATATAGAAACTGTTTAAATAAGTTCTTATGCAGATATATTATATGAATATGCACGTATCTTAATTAAGCATGTGCTGTTAGAATTAAATGGTTTTCAATTGATTCAGGATCTTATAATATAGAGTTCACATATGGAGACTATATTTGGAGTGTTTTCTCATCATTAATATACAGTAAAAACTCTATAAATTAATAAAACTGGGACTTTAACATTTTATTAACTTATAGAGTTATTAAAATTTCAATCTTTTAATAAAGTAAATTTAAATAATAATTAATTTAATTAAAAATTAAATTAAATTAAAATTATATATATTTTTAAAAAATTGTATTTTGTATAGTTTTTCTCAAATTAGGGATAAATTCTAAATTTATTTTAATTCTAATAAATAACAAATGAAAATTATAATGAAATTTTAGGATATTATCATAGATCTATTTCCATAATACTGTTTATGGTAATTAATAGTTTTTGAAATTAATGGGGCCATGTATTTATAGAGTTTATTAATTTATCGAGTATCTACTGTAGTGTTTTTTTTACAACCATTAATATAGTCTAATTAAAATGCTTTTTAAAGCTATCCTTTTCTGCCAAAAACCAAAAAAAATGGCTTGAATAAGCAATTTAAAAAGACGAATAAATAAATACAATACATAGCAAAAACTTATATTGTTGATAGGAAATTTTTAATATAATTAAACTATACAAAACATAAAAATGATGACACTTAAACAGAAAGAAACAAAAAAACATTTGCATGTAATAATAAAATAAAAATCTTAGCTAGACATCGTGGAATTAACTGACAATCCCTTTTTGTTGCTAAGCCGTCTCTTGCTGGGTGGGACTGAGAGACGATTGATCACGGTCATTGATACAGTATAACGCAATTGCATATATGATGATACCCAAAAAGACTACTAAACAGAAAAAGCCGAGAACAAACGGCATAATGCAAGGCAAGAAGACCCACAGCATCTCCGTATCCATCCTCAAGCCGAATATGTCTTGAATTAATCTGTAAGAGACGTAAATAGAACCGGAGTATTACTTATTAACTTTGAATAAAATAAAATTTTAAATAAGGAACTTACATACTAGTAATTTTTAACCAAAAAAAAAAACTTAGATACTAATCGAAGAATAAATATATCTTACGATTAGCTCTTGTATCTAGAGAACTGGTAAATTTTACAACTACTATGGAGATTTTACACGTCACAGAAACAGAAACTATTTATAAGTTCTAATGTAACAGATATATTATATGAATCTGCATATCTTAAGCATGTGTTGTTAGAATTAAATGCTTTTCGATTGATCATGATCATATAATAAATCATATTTATATTTGGAGTGCTCTCTCTCCATTAATAATGTCTCAAATCGGCATGATTCATATGTACATTAAGGATCACACATTTTTCATTAATATATTTCCAAAAAAGTACAACAAGAAAAGAAATTTATTATTAATATTGTACATCATTTCAGGGTTATAGAGTTACTAGTTGATAATAGGTAAGAGTAAGACTGACACAAAGATTTGACATTTGAGCAAATAATTTTGACAACGCTTATCACAATCATAAATCAAACATGTTCAAATTTTAAAACGTGTTATGCAAATTTACTACATATGATAGAGTTTCTTGGGAATTACCAAGCTTTTTAACCGGTGTCTGAATTCACGTCAAGGTGAAATTTGTTTCCTTCGTCCATCGGCATGATTCATATATGGAAATAATAGACTGTTAAAGAAACTAGGCAATTCAACTTTTTTTTTTTTGGTGGAAACAATTCAACTTTTAATGGTTAGCTAGAATATTCAGAAAGAAAACATTAATATCAAGTGTTTGTACGCGAGTACAAATTTGCGGTCATAGTCAGTGAGACAGATTTACATAACATTTGAGATTTTCCTAACTTGTAAAAGGAAGGATCATAATTATTGAAAACATACATATTCCGGTAAAAATATATATGAGTGCTCAAACTACTCACATGTAATATGTAATTTGTTACACATGCATATATTAACAATTAAGTGAATAACACATATTACATATGATTGGAAAAATCTACAAAATAATCATAATATTCTAAGATATACGTGACAGAAAAAAAAAAAGAATTATTGGAAGCAAATGAATGATATAATTAACGCAGAAAGTTATTAACCACTGACAAAGGAACCAAACAAAGCCCTTTTTCCTTCAGATCAGTTGATATTCCACCTTGGTTTTGCACTGCACTCTCTCCGTTCTCCTATGTAAAATTATCGTATGATAGATTACCGTTAGATATTGAATATATATAATTCGTACGACATGCTTTTTCCTAACGTTATAACTAAACATAGGCAAATTTATGATCAATATGTCTTTTACATTAATTGTGTCATCACCAACAACTCCACACCCGTGTATAGTGTTGTTGTCCAATAGGTTCATCATGCTATTGACCTATAAAACGAAAATTTACACAAATTGTTAGTAGTTGATACAGTTTAATTATTGATATTTTGACGAAATTAATTAAGGTGCATTTGACTTGTTAAAGCTGATCTGATTATCATATTCATATGTCAAATATAGGAACTTAATAAATGGCAATTGTTGCATCAAGTTGGTGGACTATTGTTTATAACTATATATTTCAATTATGAGTCAAAACCCCAAAATTTTAAATAAGTTCTTGTCTCTCTTGGCGAAAAGAGAATTGTAGTTGTTGCCTCTCATTGACGTCTGAAATAATCTATAATCACGTTCCTCGAAAACTAAGTTGACAAACAAAATAAATGAATTCAAAGTCAGATGAGATGATGCTAAGAATCATATGTATCACTTACCTAATTTCTGTCTTAGTGATCTTTTGTCTTTATAGATAGTTTCAACGCTGAAGTTATATATACTTTTTTAACCGAAAATTTTGCATAGCACTAAATAATCATCATTTGATTGTCAAAATCATATACTACAATACATACATAAGTACACTATATACATATGCAGTAAAAAAAGGATACATTGTATACTAAGAGAGAGATAGAGAGACTCACGTTAGGACTACGAGAAGGAGAAGAGGCGGTGTCTTCAAGATCATGATGACGACCAAAAGGAATCTCTCTATTTCTTGTCCTCTTGACGTTAAATCTTTTGGAAGAATTAAATCCTTCTTGCTTAGATACGTTGAGGGTTTTCTTAGTAGCCACGCAAGACATTGCGTCGGAGACGAAGGAAGAGCTGCAATCTCCGACATCAACAACACTTGAAGAAGCCTCGAAGAAATCCTCAAAGTACATCGTCCAGCTACTTTCCTCTGGAGTTTGGTCGCCAGAAAGCGTCGATATTTCATGTTTGTTCATAATGAAAGCATTGTTCATTGAACTCTCCATGAAATTGGAAGAAAAAAGAATAAACGAGCTTTAGTTTGTTGGCTTGTTATTTGGTAGTAACAGCTGAAACATGCGTGAAGGTCGATTATATACGAGCACTTACAGAGCAGGAGTTTTGAGAAATTATATTCTTAAGCATATAGTAGTATATAATGAATATATATAGTTGTGTACCAATTAATTTTATTTTGCTGTCAGTGATGGGAATGTTGGTTTGGAATCTTGGTTTGTGGGGTCGCTCTATCTGTTTTTTTCTCTCTATTTGGTTGGAATAAAAGTTGGTTTGAAATGTTCAAACTTCAGACCAATTTAATACTGTTACTTCCGAAAATTTAAACATAGTTATGATTGTCAAATAAGTTAACAAAATATAAAATCCGAGCTTGAATATGAATAATAATATTATTAATACTGAATCATCTCTAATGTTGAAACATCAACAAATTTTATAATATCGTTTTGTAAAAAATGAAGTATGATTAGTTTTCAAAATAGAAAAAAATAGAGTAAAAATGATGTAAGAGTTTATTATTAAATCTAATTCTTCCAAATGTGCTTACACATAGTTACAAAGACGTATATATAGCTATGTATGTACAATTCTTTTTGTTTTGATAAAGGCATTGATTAATCATATTGTCTATGTTCTAATATATCAGTGTAGAGGTGCTCGGCTCTAGGTTCAAAGTTTTAGGACTTGTATTTCCGTCGAACTACTCCATGATTACAGTATATCATCTTTATCGAATAAATGTTTGGTGCATTATCCCCTAAATATATAGCGAAGCCGGTATTTAATAATTATGTTTTGTATTTATATGTGACGAACTGACGATTGGAGGAATATGTGTCACATTCTGCTCCGTATCAATATTATCAAGTGGAAAATTAATTAGGAATTAATTTAAACATGCAAACTACTTATAAGGTTTCATGTCGGTAAATTTAAATGCAACTATGAAATCCTTTAAATGTAGAACAAAAATGATTTAAATTTTTAAATTTAGATTTCGGAAGTAGCACATAAAAATCACCCATAAGTAAACGGATCATACTAAATTTATTGTTAGCATTCTGCAACAATTGGCCTCGATATATATAATAAAAGAAAAAAGGTTTTGATGCTAAGTGTAAATTGTATTACAGTAAAACTCTATAAAACAATAATGTTGGGACTTTGAAATTTTATTATCTTATAGAGTTATTATTTTATCGATAAAACAATAATTATTATTTTATAGAAATATTTTATCAAAAACAAGAAACTTTATAGAAAATATTTTTCACTTTTTTATTCAAATTTTCCTTATACTTTGTTATTTACATATTTCATGCTCAGAAGTTCAAAATCTAGAAGAAATTATGTCTAATGTTCTTAATGGTGAAGATGAAGTTGAAGATGATGAGGAAGGACATGTGCAAGTAGTTAAGCAATTGTGGCTTCGAGAACTCTTCACAACTTTTGGCTGCATGTTGAGAATACACCACCAGAAATTGTAGATGCAATAAGAAAAATTCGAGATGAGCTCCAACGGGAATCCAACTTTCAGAAAAGACAAACTACATTGGAGTCATATTTTACTAAATTGTCTTAGATATATATGCCTTAGTTTTATAATTATTATCTTACCTTATTGTTGGGACTATATTTTTACATAGGAGTTTCAAAAATATTATTGTCTTATCATCTTATCGCATTATGCTATTTTTTACATTGGCCCGAGTTGGGACCGGAGAAAATTATTATCTTATAGTGTTTATTGTTTTATCGAGTATTGTTTTATAGAGGTTCTACTGTACGTCGTCGCATTTTTGCTCTAACCTAATAAGTTAATGAATAGAGTGGACTGAAACATCATAAGATTCCAAAATTAAATTGTTCTCTTATTTATCCACTTGCTTGGTCCATAAAAACCCCACAATTAAATAATCAGTTTACTAACTTCTGGATTACGAATAAATCAACGGGCAATTGCGCCGGTTTCACATTATCCGACTATACATTTGTTTTTAAAAACCCTATACAACTAAACTATTATTTCGTACGGTGCTAGTAGACGCATTTCAATTAAAATTTTGTGTTCAAAACATTATCTATTGTTAATTAAAAATATAATTATCAGCTGAGGAGCATGGTTCATGATTTTAGAGAAGAGTGTCGAATGCTGTCATGCTCATGCGCTTAACTTTTTTTTTTTTTTTTGATGAATCACACATTACCGTTCATTCTTAAAAAAACAAAACGAAAATTTTGATTAAGAGTACAGATAATATGGATGTGAAAGCATAAACTATATGTGAATGATTGATGTACGAAGTTACAAACCTAAAAATTTAATCACCCCGACTAATTTGGACCCGACATACAAACAATGGCGAATCTAGTAAGTACCATACGGTGTCAGTTGACACCGTTTAAATATCATAAAAGCTTTTATATAACCAAAACACAAGACAATTACTAGCAGAAATGGTAAGAGATGCCTAATGAACCCATATTATCCAGGTTCGAATCCTAACCTAACCTGACCCCAGTTAATTTTTTTTCTAGATTCGCCACTGCATATAAATATATGGATGTGAAAGCATAAAGTTTATGTGAATAATTTATGTATGAAGTTACGACCTAAAAAACTAGAAAAATATAATAATCAGCCCTACTTTGCACCCGACATAGGCTCCGAATGGAGAAAGCGGAACAAGCGTTGCGTATCAAGCGGATCAGGCGGTTCAAATGCGGATCAAGCGGTTTTGACGGTCCAAAATATATATTTGAATGGTAAAAGCGGATAAAGCAGTCCAAACTATTAATATAATATTACTATAATTAAAATGTAGTTATTATAATTGATTTTAATTTTACAGGTTTTTATTTAATATATGAGACAATACTAATAAAATAATTATTAAAATTTAGTTATGTTTTAAATATTCTGAGTGATCAAAGAAGTTATTTTATAAATATTAAATTTATGCTGATCTACAAATAAACAAAATATTTTTTATAACAATTTGTGGATTATTTTAAAACTAGTAATAGCCAGAAATAATAAAAAAAATGCTTTAAACCACAAACACAGCAAATATGGAGCGTTTCTACTGTGCATGGCGGATCACTTATTTCCTTCACAATTTTGATCCACTTTTACTGTAGCGTTTCTGATTAGTTTTTTATTGTTACTTTTTTCTTGTTTTCTCTTACATGCATGAATGGCAAATTATTTGAGGTTCCTCCACTTTGTGTATGAACCGTCATTTGTTCTACTTCCCATTCAAGGCCATACTATTTGTCTTTGCGTTTGTGCATTTCTGTCCAAATTTGTTTTTTGGTTTTGCTAAAGTCAATCATTACAATCGTGAGTTTAGTTACAGAGCTAGATATTATTACCAATTCAATAGTGTGTATCAACACAGCTAGACGGCCGCGTTTTACCTCTTACAAGGATAGATCAAAAGCAGCGCGACAATAATATCCTAGAACTGACAAAAAATGAACACTAAATAAAACTACTAAACCAGCATTGAGAATTTGTCAACTTCCTTCCAGTTTAATAATCTGTAATGTCATTGACTTTGTAAAACTTCTTGACATACGTCAATAGAAGATCTTGTAAAGATTTTATGTCATTTAGAAATGAATTTGTTATATTATTAAGATGCCGAACTTAGGGATTAATTATACTAATATCAATATGTGTCCTTTCTAAACTTTGTTTTCAATTGTTATTTCGCGATGTTATATACTATATGTTAGTTATTGAAGTTATTTTTCCGATAGCTTATAGCTTACACGATTGCGGACGTGTGACCGTCCAATGAAAAGTTAGTAATATTTTTGAATACTGAAATTATATAGATGAACACATATAGATAGTATGTAACACCTACATTTTGTAAGAATAAGTTGGTGTGAACAAAATTTAAAAAATAATTATTTGCTCTACATCATTATTATTCATTATAATATTTATTTCTATATAGAAAATAGTAATCTATTTTGTTAACAATATATAATATCGAATTACGTATAAATATGAGTGGTGATGTATCGACTACCTTAATACAAATCTACATTACTATAGTGCATTATTTTCGTTATTGACCTTTTTCTAATACGTTTATAGAATTTTATTTAGATTCAAACTTTGGATAACATAGCTAAAAAACAATTTTATGTTGACGCAAGAATATCAACAAACTATAGTTTTCAGATAAATTAAGTCTACGTGTCACCGGAGGAATTAGTGGGTTCCAATTAGAGGTACAAAAATAAATAAATGGCGATCAAAGGAATATTACTTAGTACTTCAGGGGAAAAAAAATCAAACAGGTCAATGCTTTGTATATCTCCGATTAGAATATTCTCCAAGAAAACCAAACAGGAGTATTTTGTTATGTCGTATGGTTTGATAAACGCTATTTTGGTTTGTATATATAATATATAGGTTGCTTTCTTTCTGCGATTATTAACTTACGAACAAGCGCATGTTTTTGATACAGAAAAGTCAAGTTAATTTATATAAAGTAAATCCCGTATGGTTAAAGAAAAAACATATCTATGTCTTTCTTGGTACAATTGTGCCATGACTTTATTACAAAAGATTGGATAATCTAAATGACTCACGTGTATAGGAAGACCAATTATCTAGTCGATGGATTTGTGAACTATGCCTTTTCCCTTCTGTTTGGATATCATTTATTTGATGTTGTTTCACTTGATGTAGCTCCTTTATTGGATGCACATAGACAGTCTTGGTTCCACTAGGCCAAGGCAGATCTGTTTGTAGTTGTAACTTTTTATCTTTTCAATAAATTTGGGAGGCTTAATCTCCCGTTGCACGACAAAAAAACAAAAAAATACATACCTTTTGAGTTAGACCAAATAAATATACTTAAGTGGCTGTTAACAAAGAAGAAGAGAATTAATTAAGTGAAATTGGAAATTGACACGTATAGCAATATGCCGTTACACGATAAATGAAATGCACATGCTACGATCCTATGACATTCACAAGTGACTATGTGAGCCACCACTTCCCAAGTTGTTTAGCTAAACATAATTACGAGAGAGGTTTAGGGCCAATGATTAGAAATTAAGATGTTAAGAGGTTTAGAGCCACCACTATCTCTTGTTTTTCCTCTTAAAATTTGGTCATTTACACTTTAATGTGGATTTTAGAGAGGTTATAAAAAAAATTACAAAAAACATTTATAGTTTATGACCAACACTAATCTCCATGGTGCTTAACACTAATTCAAGACTTTCATATTTTACATAAGATCATCTCCAACCCCTCATGCCATATGTTATTGCAAATGGCAAAAATATAGCAATAGCATTGGGTTTCTCTCCAACCCCTCATGCCATATATCATGCTATAATTTTTTTCCAACTTATTATTAATTGTTAAAACTACTTGATTTCTTCAAATTTTACAAAGTGAATCATTTGTTTTTCTTTTTTTGCAAAAACAACCAGATTATTTTTTATTATTATAATATTAAAACAAAATACATCATATTACATAAAAATTATAGAAAACAAAGATTTTAACCTATTGTTTTATGTTTTTTGAATTTCAGTATTTTTAAAAATAAAATTTGAAGTTTATTATGGTTATGTTTTTATATTTCTATGAAATAAATATTATTTATATTTTGAAAAAGTTATGAGTATTGTTTATTTATTTAAATAAATCATAATCAATATAATTAAACTGTTAAATTAAAAGTAATTACAAATTGAAGGACTATTTTATAAATAAAAAAGTTCAATGGCAAAATAGCATATTGCATAATCTCATGCCAAATATAGAAGCAAAAATAGCATGATGCTAATAGCATATGCAATTGGGTTGGAGCAAAAATTATGGCAAAATAGCATATATGTCATATTTAGCATGGGGTTGGAGATGCTCTAAAAACACATACATAACCAAAGTTAATTTTTTATCATATAAATCTCCACCAAAGTCTGCATATGTGAAATTAGGGAGAAAAAAGTTTTACGTTGTACATAAACACTAAACCCATGCAAATAATTCCTTTGACATACTTCAACATAATTTTTGCGGATTCTGGCTGTGGTTTCCTTGGCGCTTGTATAAACCGATTTACAAGACATACCACACCAGTACCACGATAGAAAATGTCATATACTATAGCAAAGCATATGAAAGTTTTCACAAAATCCTTTCATCATGTATAAGCTTTATGTATCACATGATTCACATCCATTGAAAGATTACATGTCATCATTTAGTGCACCTCGAACCTTTCAATAATCTTTCTGCATCAATTTGTTAGAAAATAACTTTTATATCCCTTACTTTTCCAACACTTGTTATTTGCATGGCATTGATCCTTGTGAAGGGAGAGTGTTAAATTTTTCCAAAGCAGGACAGAAGCAAATTGGTGGGCTTAATGGGCTTCGATGGGCAAGTTATAATACTTAGAGACAGCTGAAGCGCAATGTTGGTACTAGCTTTGCGAACACAATGGAATTTTATTTTCAAAGCAAAGTAACTTGAGATGGACAGTTTGCGAACTTTTGGGTTAATACGTCCAACGACCGTTGACCTTTTTCTGAATTGAGTATATATTACGTATAAGCGTTTCTTTTCACCAAACCTTTTACAGATTTATAAGTGTTTACTTTATAAGGACACTGTTCATGTTCTTCATTTGAAAAGTCAGGTATAATAGTAAGTACATTAGATAGATAATTGTCCATAATGTTGTGCGTAGAATAATATTATTTAGATTTTTTTTTAACTGGTTATACACATTCACTTTCTGGAAAGAAAACCTTGCCCATAACTTTTATTTTAAGTACCTCTTGATGAAAAATAAATTGATACTATTCCACTTAACGGTTTCCAATTGTGTCTAGTAATTTGAGCTCAATCTTTGTAATTTACAGTTCGGGTAAACTAGTTAATACAATTCAAAAACAGAAGTAAACTGTATAAAATATTTTGTTTCTATATTCGAAAATCCAACATTGAATCCAAACGAAACAGAGAATAGAAATACTGAACCATATTTTTTTGTGCGAGAATTATCGACATATTATCTACGTTATAAACTACTAATGAAGTTGTAGTAAGAGTGTTAAATCATTGTCTCAATGTGGAACCTGGTTTGTTAATCAAATTAAAAAGCTGTTTAGTTTAGACTTTAGAACGTCTACATATTGATGCTCCTGTAAGAAAAACCAAGTACAACTAAACATAAACTCAAACTGAATAACCTGTTTAATCACATCACAGTTTCGTAGTTATACACTTCAACACACTCCATGTTTTTTAAAAATAAATTATTTTCCTTTTTATTTATCAACAAATTCATTAAAAAGGTAGGGAAGTTATAAAAAAATGAATAAATAAATAATACAATAGAAATTTTATAAATTAATAAACTCTATAAAATATTTTTTTTAGGTTCTAAGTTAGGCCGATGTACAAATTAGCAAAATAAAATATTAAGATAATATAATAATATTTTTGAAATTCTATTGTAAATATATAGTCCATTATTATCATTGTAAATCTTATGTAATAAATAATATACTAAAATATAAGTATAAATTTTACTTTTTATTTATTAGAACTGAAATCTATTTAGAATTCATCTCTAATTTAGAATAAAACTATACAAAATATAATAAACTTTTTAAAATATATGATTTTAATTAAATTTAATTATTATTTTGATTAATTATTCATAAAAATTAATTCAATAATTTAATATACTTCTATTAAACTAATAAAATATCAAAGTTCCAATTTCCAACTCTATTAAATTATATATTGTTCATACTGTATAGCGTTCTCTCCAATGTTATAAGGGCATATACTTATGTACTGCTTAGTTTTATTTTATTTTATATAAATATTAATTCTCTCTTCCTCTATAAACATAGCAAAGAGATCGATCATCAATTGTTTTGAAGATCTCTCCTTTATTTGAATTATTCTCCGTTTTAGATTCTCTCGAGACTCTAGCTAGGTTCTCTTCTCCGTGATCGGAGCTTTCACATTTTATTCGACGAAAAATCTTTCCTTTTTCTCTTCTACTCCGGCGATGGTTTTGACGGCGACGCAGACTCTCTCTGCTAAGATCGGATTCTCCAATCCTCTCCTGCGACGGAACCCTTCTCCCTCACTCCGAAGATCTCCCGTTTCTCTCTCGTTTCCATCGACGGAGCTTCCAAAACTCACCGTTTCATCTCTCTCCAAGCCGCTTCACCTCTCCTCTTCTCTGAGAGCAAAGTCTCCGGTGAGATGCGAGGCCTACGAAGCCGAGAAATCGGAGCCTGAGCCGATCGATGCGGCGGCGGCGGCGGAAACGAAGTCGGAGGCGGCGAAGAAACTGAAGATCGGGATTTACTTCGCTACTTGGTGGGCTTTGAACGTTGTGTTCAACATCTACAACAAGAAGGTCCTCAACGCTTACCCTTATCCATGGCTGACCTCGACGCTCTCTCTCGCCGCTGGTTCGTTGATGATGCTCATCTCTTGGGCTGTTGGGATCGTCGAGACTCCCAAAACCGATTTCGATTTCTGGAAAACTCTCTTTCCGGTAAGTGGGTTGGTGAGAAAATTGGGGGAAAAAAAGGTTGAATTTTTAGGTTAGATGTCGATGTTTCCGATGATGGGTATTGAGGTTTATGGTCAAATTGATGCAGAGATCTTTGCATGCATATTTCTTGTTTTTTTGTTACCTCTTAGTTTTGTTTGCTTCCTGTGAGAGAGAGAAGAAAGTGATGTTTTTTTTTGGCTGTGTTTGTTCATTCATAAGCTGCTGAATTTTTGTTGTTGTTATAATTTCTGAATTTTTCATAGCTAAATTCTCAAAATTCTAGTCAAATTTAGCTTCTACTTAAAAGTATTAAACTTCATGATATTTTTGTTGTGATTTGCCTAAAAGGTTGCTGTGGCACACACAATTGGTCATGTGGCTGCAACGGTGAGCATGTCAAAGGTTGCGGTTTCCTTCACTCACATCATCAAGAGTGGTGAGCCTGCGTTTAGCGTTCTTGTCTCGAGGTTCCTTTTGGGTGAATCTTTCCCTACTTCGGTTTACTTGTCCCTGATTCCGATCATCGGTGGTTGTGCTCTCTCTGCTCTCACTGAGCTTAACTTCAACATGATTGGTAATCAAATATTCTACTCACACTCCAGTCTTCTTCTATTAGCCATTGTGTAGCTAAATCTTTCTGATTCTCTGCTCTCTCAGGTTTCATGGGAGCGATGATATCGAACTTGGCATTCGTGTTCCGTAACATCTTCTCGAAGAAGGGAATGAAGGGAAAGTCTGTGAGCGGGATGAATTACTACGCTTGTCTCTCCATGTTATCGCTCTTGATCCTCACGCCATTCGCGATTGCTGTTGAAGGACCTCAGATGTGGGCCGATGGCTACCAAAAGGCTCTCGCCGACGTTGGACCTCAGTTTATCGGGTAATTTCCCTCTTAAAACTCTTTCAAACTCAAAAGAAAATCGGTTTTGTCCTGTTAGATGTAATCTTGTCCTGTTCCGTTGTGTAAATAGACCCACTTATCAAGTTCTTGTCTTTAGCCCTCAAAGTTCTTGTTTACATCCGAATCATTACGAGTCTTTTAGTGAATCCATCTCGTTCGCTTATCCGATTTATGCTTTTTCTTTTGATGAAATTTTGGCAGGTGGGTGGCTGCGCAGAGTGTGTTCTATCACCTCTACAACCAAGTGTCTTACATGTCTTTAGACCAAATCTCTCCCTTGACCTTTAGTGTCGGTAACACCATGAAACGTATCTCAGTCATTGTCTCCTCCATCATCATCTTCCGCACTCCGGTCCAGCCCGTTAACGCCCTTGGAGCCGCCATTGCTATCCTTGGAACCTTCCTGTATTCCCAGGTGAAAATGACAAATATACCCTTTTTATTATCCACAAGGTTTAGGATATTAAAGCGTCTCTTGGCTTCACTTCACAGCCACATGATGACCCTTTAGCCACTAACTATTACTTCTTGGACATTATCAAGAACTGTCTTAGTTTGTTTGGTCTAATCTTGAATCGTCCTAATGTTTCTTTGTTGTGCAGGCAAAGCTCTGATTGGGAAGACAAGGATTGTTTCCTGGTCTGGTGTTGAGCTCGTGATTTCGGTTGAAACCGCGACAAGAGCTTAATGTAGATATGTCCTCAATAATGAAGAAGTGATGAGAATGGAGACGACAACGTTTAGTGTGTTAGGCAGTTTTTTGTGTGGATTTAAGTGTTTTGAATTTGGGGAAAAAGAGAAGATTGCCTCTTTGTAACTAAAGTGGGAAATAGAAATTGTCCCCTTGAGAAATAAAACACCCCTATACTCTCTTTTCATATACGAGAGGAAATATTAAAAAAAGACAAAAAATAGAGAACAATTTCGAGAATTTTCTTGTTTATACATATGCATGAATTTCACTTCATATGCGTAACTAGTTCTTGATTTCTGATACGCATAAGAAGTTTTCATTCACAAGAGAGAGGTGTCTCTTGGAATTTCAAAAGAGGCAGAGATGTTCAGAGAATAATAAACTAAAAGAAGATTTTCTCTATCGTTTATTTATTCATTAAAGTCACCACCTTTTAATCTTTTAAAAATCGGAACATCATGAGTCATGAAGTCTCATGACAGTAGCAGATACTATCTGTATACGCGAATATATGTCTTCTAACAATTGAACCTTTGTCTTTTCTTTTTTTTAATGTCAGAACTCGTATGAATTCTGAATTATAACTACAAACGATTAAACTAGCTGCAATGTCTTAATGATTAAATAAGAAGGTGATAAAATGTGTTAGTTAACATAAGTGATATTTTTTGTTAGATAAGAAAAACAGAAAATGCGTTTACAAATGTGTGATTTTGCCTTTTCCCATTAGAGTTCTGAGATAATATTCGATGCTCGTACATGCAAAAGTGGGGTTTAGAAGAATACACAGAAGGAGACGGCAAATTAAAGAACAAAACAAATTTCAAAAGTAAGAAATGTTTCTTTTTAAACTGATAATACATTTATTCAGATTTTGTTCTCATCGTAGTCCTTCTCTATTCCCATCTTTTTTCTGGAAAACTTCTCGACCGAAGAAGCAGAAGTACAAATAAATTACACAAGTACAAAAAGGATTTCACTATCTGAAAATTTAAAAACAAACAAAAGAGATTTTCTTCAAACTTCAAGATACTTAGCCACCGTCTGAACATCTTTATCTCCTCTTCCACTGAAGTTCAACACCACTCTCGTCCCATCTGATAAAGTCGGACACAGCTTCTCAAGGTGAGCTAACGCGTGGGACGTCTCCAGCGCCGGAATGATTCCCTCTAACCGCGACACTCTCTTGAACGCTACAAAACCACAAATCAAAGCCAAGTTATGAACCAAATAACAGATTCACTCACTAAAGAACAAAACACTATGCATATATTGATACAACATACCTTCCAACGCTTCTTCATCGGTTACACTATAGTACTCAGCTCGTCCCATGTCTTTAAGGAAACTGTGCTCCGGCCCAACTCCAGGATAATCCAATCTGTAACCGAATCCCAAACCGTGTTCAATAACCGTGACTAAACCAACAAGACTAATTCAGTAATATATTCTTACCCTGCACTGATGGAGTGAGGCTCAATGATTTGACCATCATCATCTTGCAGCAAGTAACTCATAGCTCCATGAAGCACACCGACCTCTCCCTTCGTCAACGTAGCAGCGTGTTTACCACTATCCAATCCGAACCCGGCAGCTTCCACACCGATCATCCGAACCTCCGCATCATCCACAAACTCATGGAAGAGTCCCATCGCATTAGAACCACCACCAACACAAGCCACAAGAACATCAGGCTTCCCTCCCCACTTCTCCAACGCCTGCCTCCTCGTCTCTTTACCGATCACCGCGTGGAAGTCTCTCACCATCATCGGGTATGGATGAGGACCCGCCACAGATCCCAATATGTAATGCGTCGTCTCCACGTTCGTCACCCAATCTCTTATCGCTTCCGATGTCGCGTCCTTCAACGTCGCCGTTCCAGAGTGAACCGCTCTCACCTCAGCACCAAGAAGTCGCATTCTGAACACATTGAGAGCTTGTCTCTCCATGTCTTGAGCACCCATGTAGATAATGCACTCCAGACCGAAACGAGCGCACACGGTGGCTGTAGCCACGCCGTGTTGACCAGCTCCCGTCTCGGCGATGATCCTCTTCTTCCCCAGACGCTTGGCGAGAAGCGCCTGAGCCACGGCGTTGTTGATCTTGTGAGCTCCTGTGTGGTTCAGGTCCTCTCTCTTCAAGTATATGAGCGGCCCTTCGCCGTTTTCGCGACGGTAATGCTCCGTGAGCCTCTCTGCGAAGTACAGAGGGCTTTCTCGACCCACGTAGTCTTTCAAGATCCCTGCCAGCTCTCTCTAACATGATTCAATCACACAGAGGAGAACATGAATCAGACGATAGAACCAGAATTAACATCAAAGCAAAAGATTTCAAATTTCATTTCCCTAATCAGTCTTATGCCCTAGAATTTTGTATTGCATCACATTTCACATTGACAAGATCCAATTTTTTCCCAATTTTCAAATGATAATGCTCAAATCCCAAAGACCCACAACGCAAAATGTTCCATTTTTATCCAATCACGGAGAATAATTGAATCCCAAAGACCCACAACGCAAAATGTTCAATTTTATCCAATCATGAAGAACAATTGAAACCCCAACAAACCTGGAAATCATCGTCGGAGGCTAGAAAATGAAAAGCCGATTCGAGCTCGGAGAGAGCGTGCATAAGAGTCTCAGGGACATACTTCCCACCGAACTTCCCGAACCGACCGAACGAATCGGGTCGTAGCCACAGGGTCGGGTCAGATCCGGCGGTCATGAGAACAGCCGGGTCCTTGGCGACAGTGCACGAAACAGAGAACCTTGAACGAGACGGTGGCAGAGGCGTAAATTTGACAGCTTTGGAGGGGGATCTCCAATGGGTCAATTGGGATGAGGAAGAAGCTGAAGAAACGGAGGCTCTGAATGTAGCAGCGGTGCTTGAGGCTGCCATTACTGAATCTCTCTATCAGTCAAAATTATATTCCCCTCCTTTGAATATCCCCTTCCAAGTTGTAAATGTTTTTATAGATTGTTTAGGAGAAAAAAATAAAAACTGGTCAAATTTCTGACCACAAACATATATAATTAATAATGGGTTGATACTGAGTACCAAAACAAGTCTTTTACCAAGAAAAAAAGGAAGTTGGTAAGGTCTAAAGAAGATGAGAATTTGATTTTTAACACATGGTTTTGGGAGAAAAAAAGATCCAATTAAAGCCATCACCTACCCTTATCTTTGAGTACGCCAGTTGTGTATTTTTGTTTTGGTTAAAAACATAAAATACTTTCTTTCTAATTACTGTATAAATCAGTATATTTGTTGCATATTTAAGTGTATTACGTCAGTTGTAAAATAAAAAATAGAGTATAGTAAATAATCCATTTAATATGAACAACCAATTTGTTTTTTTATTGTAAGTCATGAAAATTTTCGAAATCAATAGGTCGATGAATTATAAATTTACAACACTTGTGAGATACATATTCATTCCAGTAGAGCAGGTTTTGAAGACAATGATTTGGATATTCACAATACTTGTAAGATATTGTATATAATAATTGATCTCGTTCCATTGGAACGATGAGATAACATCTCTTTCAAGTACAAATTATGTTTTATATTATAAGAGATTTTAGGTTTGGACACAAAAATTAATAATGTATTTAATTTAAAAATAAATTATGTTTTATCATCAATCTCAAAACAATTCAATAAATGAAAAAATAATCTGCATTATTAAACGAGACAAAAACAACAAAACACATTAATTCTGCATAAGAACTTGAAAACACTAAATAAATTGAAAAAAAAATTAAAAATCCCTTAAACCCTTTATATTATGAAATATCACAGCGATTTGTAAAAAGCTTTTATCAAAATAAATATAACAACAATGTTTTATGGTTGTCTGTTAAAGATTTTTTTTTTACGTCTGTCTGTTAAAGATTAAAAAATCTTATTCTCATACATTTTGTAAGTTTATATGAGTTTGTGCTATGGAGTATTTGTTAATGTATTTTCTTTGTCGAGAGTATTAATGTTAATAAGTTAAGTGTGTATGAAACTCTTTGGGGTATGAACAAGATATATTCATTACGGGACAATGAACTTAATTTTCTAAAGTTATATGTTATCTCCATACTACACAACTACACCAGAGATTTACATTTCACATAAACAAGATCCAAATATTTCTCGAATGTTTATACATTCCTTGAAGACAGTGGTGAGATTACGAGAACCAGATGTATATTTTGTAGATTTGAGAATCTATGTGGGGCTTCACCAACTCTACCGAATGTGTTTCTGGTTCTGATAATCTCACTACTGCCGTTCAAAGAATGTGTAAGTACGTCTTCTATCTCAAGACGTTGGGGAAATATTTGGCATTGAGTTTGGAAAAAGAAAACCTTTCATAATTTTCTCAAAAAACTATTGAATGAGTTTTGTTTTCCTGTGAAAGAAAGAAAGTGGTGGCAATCTTTCCCGTGAATATAAATGGTGAAAAACATAATAGTTTATAATTCTAGCTCATCTGAAATTGATTTTACCCCAATCAAAAAGCCACGAAAAATAACAAAAATCATGAAAAACATCGAAAATGATCTAACTTAGGAGCTAGATGAGGAACAACTGCCAAAACGTCTAGATCTGGTGGTAGCTGAGCACCACATACGTCTGTTGGATTAAAAGGATTTAGTGAATTTGGATCGCCAAAAGTGTTGTCGAAAATGTGTGAGAGACATGAAAGATAACTCTTTCTCTTCTTAATAGTAAATGGTTTTCATGACCAAATCTGTTTCATTGACCATCACATATTCTTATTCTTTATACTACTAATTTGTAGATTAGTTCCGATATATAACCTCAAACAATGTCATACTTAAGTAGAAAAAAGTGACATGTTTTCGCTTCAACTATATTTATCGTGATAAGAACGATTACGTCATGTACTTATCTTGTCAAAATTATTATTTATTTATTTATCGTAATAAGAAGGATTACGTCATATACTTATCTTGTCAAATTTCTTTCTTAAAAAAAATATAAAAATAGAAATACAAAATATAAAAGAAAAAAGAAAAAGAGAAGATAATCTGACGATAGTAATATTGGAAGTGGTAACAATTGTGACGTGGTGGCCGAATCAATTTAGATCATTTTTTTAAAAAATGTTCATTTATAACAATTTAAAATTGTTAAAGCCTCTCGACCCAATGGTTTGACTAAAAATTCATTAATTCTTCTATATCATTAGAGATTTGTGGTTCGAATCCCAAATAATACGATTTATTATCAACATAATAGTTCATATATTTTCCAATCGTCCAAAATTATTAATTTTATGTCTATATCCACAAATTTTGATAACTATCTACAAATACCAATAGTCATATTTCCAGCAGAGCCTTCAGTTTGCTCCTAAAACGCTACAATAAGAAATATTTTTTCGTTTTCATAGATTCACAAAAAACTGACGCAAAATAGAAAATATATTTTTTTTTGATGATTATTAATTTATTTTGTTTATCTGTGACATGATAACTAGGAACATATAAAAATTAGAAGACGATTAGACAACTCTAAAACCTTTCTTAAAAATCTACTAGATAGCTATGAATATTTAAAATCAATTATTTTATATAAATGTTTTTAGCTTATACAAACTTTTTATATCAAAATTTATTATTCCTTTTCCTTTATAAATAGAAATTTGTTTTGTCAAATTTGGACATATAAAAAATTATGTTTTTTCCTCTATAACATCAAAGTTAAATTATTTTAGTGGTGGGGTAAGGTGTTGAACTTTATTAAACATAACCACTGTAAATTTAAAAGTGTAAATGTGTATTGAATTATTATGTGGAAGAAAAAGAAGATGATGTAGAGTGTTAAAAGGTAAAAAAGAAGGTGTTGAAAAAAAAATCCATTGTATATAATCTTACTCTACTATATTTTTCTTCTTGAATATCCTTCTAAGAGTTTTTATATTATATTTTGATTTTTTTTTTTTTTTTTTTTTTTTTTTTTTTTTTTTTATAATTTTGGTCAAATATCTAACCAGAGAAGAAATAATCAATAAAAATATATTAGATTAACTACCAAATAAGTTGTTTACTACAGAAAAAGAAAAGAAAAGTTGATAAGACTAAATATAACGATGACACTTGAACACATGGTTTTTAGAAACATATCCAAATGAACAGTCACCAACATCAATATACTCCTTCTGTTGTTAAATCCCTTATTCAATTTCTTAGTATATATGTATACTAAGAAAGTTGACTCTGACATACCAAAATTATAAAAATTTCTTCAAACAAAAAGACTTACCAAAATTCGACATCAGCATAACAGCATTTAGATTCCAATGCAGAACTTCGATTGAGATTTGAGACTAAGAAAATGGATTCAAGTGGTGAGGCGCCAGACAGACTCTCAAGTCTACCGAACGTGCTTCTGGTGATGATAATATCATCACTGTCCTTCAAGGAGTGTGTAAGTACTTCTTCCATCTCCAGGCGTTTTAGAAATCTTTATCGCGAGACTACCAACATTTCGTTCAAGGAGTCTGAGTTCGTGACTCATCGTGCTTTCTCTGGTCTACCCAGAATGGTCGCTAGGATTTTGTTTGTTCGCTATATGCATGAATGGGTCTCCAGGATGCCCGATCATGTTATCCAAAGTTTCGAGATTCATCTCCCTTGTCCATTTGGCTTCGGGGCTGAGATCGCTTCCTTGATAGCATTCGCCGTCTCAAGACAAGTCAAGAAGTTAGTACTTGACTTTTCAAATCCAGCGTGGAGATCTTTTCATGATGCACGAAGGCTTCCTCTTCTTGTTCACCTCCCGGCCTGCGTGTACAGTCTAAAGACTCTCGAGTCGTTGAAGCTTTATGCATGCGGGTTTGACCCCTCAAGATTCCAATACCCGGAGATGTTGAGAAGTCTCCATATTGGTTGTGTGAGACTCATAAACTTCGAACCTTTGCTAAGGAGGTGTTCTAAGCTTGACATTCTAAGCATCAGTCACTGTTGGGGGCTTGATCTCATGAACATAGCCGGGGACATGAGAGAGTTTGCCTTTAACAACTGCGACTTCCCTTTCATTGCTTGTTTCTTCAACCTGCCTAAAGTAGACGTCTTCAAGTACGCGGGAGACATCAATTGCCTTGAGTTTGATAGGATGAATGCGATCATCAAAGAAGTTCACTTGGATTTTGGATTACTGGGTGGATATGATGGATGGAACAAAGAGACTGTAGCAGAAGGAGGAATGGTTTGTGATCTCCTTAACAAGCTTCGAGATGCTAGGACCTTAACCGTCTGCCCTTACCTCATTCAGGTATATTTATAGTCTTTTAACATATTTTACATTACATTTCCACAACATTAGGCCATTAGTTATTAATTAAGTTCGTTTAAATCTCTTGAGTTCTTCGTGATATGGTAGTGTAATTGTTGTCTAGTGTTGAAGATGATGAGTGTTGATGATGTTGGTTGTTGTGAAAATTGATTAGACATCACTGGAATTATTAGGTCAAGTGTGTATATTTTCATTACGGTTACAATATTTTCCCTTACCGTTAGTTATAAGAGGGGATTTGAAAAAGAAAAACAAATCCTCTCAAATCATCAATTCAATAAGCCCCCCTAAGTCTATTAATTAAAGCCATTGTTAATATGATTTATAATATGATGATACTGACCTAACGAATATAGAACAATACCCTAATTCCATTATCATAACTTGGGAACTGGGATATACTTACATGAATTGTTAGAATGTAATTTTTGATAATACGTCACATGTGTTTTTCTCTTCTTTTTTTTTATGGAAGGTGATTCAAGAATCTGAGCATCCAGAGCATTTCCTTTGTCCTATGAAAACACAACATTTGGTGTTGAATACAAAGTTGCATCCAAGAGAGTTCAATGGAATTAGCCTCCTTCTCCATAATTCCCCGGACTTGGAAAAAGTCACTTTCGATATGATTTCTCCAAGCCCTTACCCGGTAATTTGATATTTACATCTACAAGCTCAAATACTTATAAATGTAACTCTTCATATTATAAATTAAACCACAAAGGCATTGATTGATCAAACTTCCGCAGTTTACTACTTCGACATATGGTGGCATCGATTCACGAACATATTGGCTTAAGGACACAACATACGAGTGTCTGAAGACGCTTAAAGTGGTGGTGGTTAGGAACTTTTGTGGTGGCTCGAACGAGCTAGATGTGCTGATGTTTTTTATTCGGTCTGGACGTGGGAGTGGGTCTGATCGTGAACGTGGGGATGTGTTGGAATTGATTGAGATTTACTTGCCGAATGAGTTGGACAAAACTCGACTGAAGTCGTTACGTTTCCGAGCTGAGAGAGTGCAGCACATTGCGCGGCCTATACAGGTTCTTGTGCATGATCCTTGAAATGCTTGACCTTTTCAAGATTTCTCTCACTAATGGGTTTGGTTTGTCTCTCATTTATTAGTGATGTTTTTAAGTTTTGTTTATCAAATTTAAGGATGGATATTCCGGTAGGGATCCGGTTACTAAGTTTGTCATCGTTTTGTTTGTTTTATTATGAATAAGAGCCTCGGGAGAGGACTTGGTCATCTCTGTGAAACAAAGATAATAATAAATTTATTTGAGACAGTATTCTTGTTTTTTTGTTTTTTTTTGTTTTGTTTTTATTCTTGGTAATCTTGATTCTGGTTATAATGAGAGCAAGACTAATCTTGATTCTTGAACAACAAGTATCAGAAATCCTTATTGACGTCATTCGAGTATATGGTTCGGATTCATAACATTATTATTATAAAATCATTAGCATATTCTTTGTAGGTTAGCTTATTTTCATGATGAGTTCGATAGTGGTCGTGGTATGGATGGCGATCGCATAAATCCATATGGATAGTGTGGAGGCATCTGGTAAGCAGGTCAGTTTTACTCACTGATGGCAAGAATCCCAGATGATCTTGAATATTAAATATTGTTTGAGAGGAATTCTACCTTTCGAACGCACAGACTGTGTGGCAAGAATCGCAGCTGCATGATCGGGTTATCTCTGTGATCCATTCCTCTTGTTTCCCCTCTCTAGAGCAAAGGCGTTGGATTTGTGGTCTCCTATAATTGTATTTTGCAAAATAAAGCGGAACCTTTTAATAAATATGCGAAATCAACTTTTCTTTTCAATACTACAAATTAGACTGCTAATTTTTTTTTTTTTTTTCAACATCCTTCCTATGCGGTCTAGAATCAGTAATGCCAATTTGCTTTATATTAAACTCTTTCATATCAAGGTGAATTATTACAAATTGTGTATTGAATTATTTAGTAGGAAAATATCACAATATACCCACATTGTATCTTATTATATAAAGCTGGATGCGCGCAACGTGGTTGCAACACGTAGGATTTTTATAAAATATAGGATCGGGACATGTGTAACTTTTAATGTTACGTCCGTTAAGATCGTGACACATGTATTATGGGAAAAAAGAAAAAAAAAATATTTTTAAAAAATACTAGAAAAAGGATAATTAAAAAAAACGAAATTTAATCTATTAAATTAAAAAAAAACTGTTATAGTAAAAAAAAAAAATCATATCCTAATAGAATAAGGTTTCCTATTCATCAATTTATATTATCGAAACACATAATAAATTCAAAATAATGTAATAAATAAAATCCTATTAGTACATAGAATAAATTATGTAAACTAACTTTCCTATAACTATATGGAATCGGTTATCTGAACCCATATAAAAGAGAGTTAAGGTAGTCTGGTTTTTCTAATATACAAATTCATCATAACAAATTCATCAAATCTTTTTGATTCTATATCTCTAATTTAAAAATAATATTTTTGAAAGTTTACGACGTGATACATATGATTTTTATAATTGACAAAACTGCGACATGTGTGTGTTTTTTTGTATATGAAAGTATTAAGATCGTGTGACATGTGTTATGGAATAAAAAAATATAAAATTTAATATGTATAAGACCAACAAAAATATCAGAAAAACAGAAAAGAAGCAATTAAAATGAAAAAAAATGCTACATAAGAAAACAAAAAACAAGAAACAAATAATTTAAATTCGTTTGTTACATCTTTTAGGAAAAGAAAAAAAAACATATTCCCATTACAAAAAGGAAAAAAAAACAATATATAATAAGTTATAACATTCATGATTTAATTGTGTACTTTAAAAGGAAAGTTTATAATGGTTTGAGGAAAAAAAATTAAGAAAGAAATAATATAAATAGAAAACTAAAAAATAATTATCAAACAACTAACTAATATTTAAATATATATATATATATATAATGAACCGATATTCTAATTTTACATAGTTTATTTTTCAATTTTCTTTTATGTAAATATATTAAATAAATATTTCATTAATTGAAATCACTTGGATGGAACAATAAAAGTTTGATGAATTAATCGGTTGATCATATTTAGACATGTGTAAATCTTTCTACACTGGATAAAAATAAAAGTAAAACAAATTAATTCATTTTTCATATTATAAATTCAAAACGATATATCAATTACAATAAAAATGTAAAAATATTACCAATCTTCTTTTATTTAAATATTTGTTATCGGATTTTAAATATTTTTCTGTGATTTTATTACAAAATCTTAAAATAAACCTGCGTATACGCGAGGCTTAATCTAGTTTTCTATATAGTGTATACTCTAATCTTAATCCAGCAGAAGATGAATATCAGAAGAGAAACAAATAAAACAAAAACTAATCTCCAGCTTTTAGATTCAATATGCAGATTCAATATGCATACTTTGATACCAGCCTCGACGATGTTATAGGATTGTGTCATGGTGTTATCGAACACAACTTCACTAGTAATCTGAATACGACTCCTTGAGTTGGTATCAAATTTGAAAAGAAACGAACTATTAGATTTTAACATAGGGAATCTACAAGATACAGATTATTTAAGTTGATCAAAAAGATTGATCTTACTATATTTATTGAATGACCAGTAAGACGTGATCATAATCAAAATTATATATTTGTTAGACACACACGTTAATTTGTTTGGCTAAGCATGTGAATCCATTTTTCTTACTAAGTTCTCAACGAGACATATTATCAAATCTACTAGATATAAACTTTTAATCATGATCATATTTTCATTGTCCTTCAAGGAATATAACGAATTCAATCAGCATTCCCACAATTACCGAATCTCTCTCACTCAACTATTTTCTTCTTCTTGAATATCTTTATATATTTTTGGAAACATATTATTTTTTATTTTTAAAAAGCTTGGTCAAATTTCTGACCACCATTATAAAATATATATATTAGATTAATTACCAAATAAGTCTTATACCAAAAAAAAAAAGTTGATGATAGGACTAAATCTAAGGATGATACTTGAACACATGGTTTTTAGAAACATATCCAAATGAACTGTCACCAGGACACCTACTTTATATTTACATCAATATACTATTTTACTGTCAAATTACTTAAGCAATTACTTTAAATTAGTATATATGTATACTAAAAATTTTACTCTGACTAATTACCAATCAACCACAATTACACATCAACATTTAGTTATTATCATGCGTTAAATCAACTTAGTTGAGATGCTGCATGCATGTACTTATCAACATTAACAGCATAGCCTACTTAATTTGAATAGATTTGCTTACTATATAACATTAATTTATATGTATACTAAGAAAGTTGACTCTGGCATACCAAAACTATAACAATTTCTTCCAGAAAAGACTTACCAAAACAGTAACAGTTTCTTCATAACAACATTTAGATTTTATCATTCGTTGTATCAATTTCTGTTTTCTTTATAGAGTTGCTTCATGCATGGACTTGTTAACATTAACAAATACTGCCGACAAAGAAAAAATCATTAACAAAACTCCATAACACAAACTCAGATAAATTATTTTGATCTTTAACAGTGAGCAAAAGTTTCAGGTGCGTTGTTGGTTCATCTCTAAAAGTTCTTTATAAATTTAATCATGATCCATCTGTTAAATCCGCGGATTTATGCAATTTTCCGTAATGTCTCACATCCGCTGATTACCATTGAGTCTCATAGGGATGAGTTTCAATTTAGGGATGAGTTTTAACTGAAAAAAAAAAAAAAAAACAATACCACATTTGATAACGTGTCTTCTATATCTGTAATGTGATTGTTCTCCATTTTGAACCTTTGTTTCTCACTATCAAAGGTCGATTAAGTTATATATGCTTTCAACAGCCTTTTGTTTTCTTTCTGTTAGAGCAATATAGATTCAATAAATCAATAGTATACATATTCTTTAAAAGGTGGTAGCTGAAAAAAAAAAAAAAAGAGTTAATTAATTGAGTTTTTAATTGAGTTTTTGCTTGGCATTTAATCAATTTCAGGATTTCAACCGAACCAAGATGAATACTAGGATAATGAAATCAAGAAGTGAACCAGTCGACAGATTGTCAAATCTTCCTGATGTGCTTCTAATCACGATCATCTCATTACTCCCATTCAGGGAGTGTGTTAGTACTTCTGCTCTCTCGAGCCGGTGGAGGACTCTCTGTCATGAGACCACAAACATTTCTTTCAAAGAGTCCGAGTACATGAACCGCGGCCAGTTTGTCTCCAACACTGACGCTAGGGACTCCTTTGTTAGCTACATGGTCAAATGGGTCTCTAGGTTTCAGTGTAGTGTCATCGACACTTTTGAGATGCATCTCTCCAATCCGGTGGGATACGTGGGAGATATCAAAAATCTGATTGAGTTCGCCGCATCCAGAAAAGTGCGAAAGCTAGTTCTTGATTTCTCAGATCCTGCATGGAGAACTACTCGTGACGCAATATGGCTATACGCTGTTATTCATCTGCCTGCATGCGTCTACGCTCTCACTACACTGGAGTACCTGAAGCTTTATGCGGTTGAGTTTGACCCCTCAAGTTTTGTGAGCCAGGAGAGGTTGAAAACCCTCTCCATCGGTTGGACTACTCTGAAAGAGGGCAAATCTTTGCTATCAAAGTGCCATATGCTCGAGACTCTGAGTATGAGATACGGTTGGGAAGTTGATATCAAGAAGATAGAGGGGCGAATAAGAGAGCTAGTCATCGAGAACTGTAACTTCTATCACAAGAATATGTGTTCTTTTTATCTGCCTAGTATAGAGATCTTCAAGTACGCAGGAGAGTTTCTCGGCCATGTTTTCAAGAAAGGGAATACGGTGATGAAGGAGGTATCACTGGATTTCGGGGTAATGCCTGAGTATGATAAGCCTACTGGAGCATCCAGGTTTCGAGGATCGCATATTACTCGTTTCCTTCGAAGTGTTCGATCTGCTAAGACCTTCACGGCCTGTCCTTATCTCCTTCAGGTATGTCTTTTTTTACAAGAAACTCTTTGCAGTTTCAACAAAATATTACATCATTTACTTTCAGTGGCCTAGTCTATTTACATCATATTTTAGAAGATAATGTTTTCGCAAGATGCTTCTAGTATTGGCGTAAAGGGTTAAGAATATGCTGAATACGTAGTTTTGATATGTAAATTCCGTAGAAACGTTTTATATGTAAAACTATTATAGACATCAGATTTGATTGGACCATGTGTGTGTGTGTGTTTATTTTTCTTATGGAAGGCGATTCAAGAATGTAACAATCCTGGTCAGTTGCTTGATGGGATGGAAGCACAACATTTGGTACTGAGAACGAGGCTACGACCGAAGGAGTTTGAGGGAATTGGGTTGCTTCTGGATAATTGCAAGAATTTGGAAAAACTGACTATCGATATTGTTCCTTCACCTCCAAGCCTTTTCCCGGTAAGATTACTATACATGGTGGAATAGTAGTTGGTATTGGTTCTCTTTTTTTGAACAATTAAGAAAACAAAAATTATACACAATACATCAATTCGTATTTAGAGGTTAAGGTTTAAGATTTGGATTTAGATTTTAGTTTCTAGGGTTTTTGATTTTCTTGGACATGCCTAGGGTTTAAGATTTAATTGTAGACTATTTACTAATTTGAATTAATGGTGTATATATTTTCTTAGTAAAGATAATGATTTTCATTTGTTATTTTGCAGATGGCTAGGTCATATTATTGTAATGATCCAAAAATATTTTGGCAAAAGAGCTACACATTCCCGTGTCTGAGAACGTCTCTCAAAGTTGTGGTGGTCAGAAACTTTGATGGTGGCGTTTTCCAGTTGGATATGTTGAAATATTTGGCTCGGACAGCGAAAGGGCTTGTAAGGGTGCTGCAAAGAGTTGAGATCTACCTGCGGAAGGGAATGGATCCAAACCGAATGGCGGTAGCTACTGCTCAGGCCGAGATGTTGAAGGCATTTTCTAAGCGTGCAAAGGTAATTGTGCACAACGCTTGAAACTTTGAACTTTTCAAGGCTTTTCAGTATTAATGGGGTTTTGTCCCATTTACTGATGATGATGTTTTTGAGTTTGATTTCATTGATGCTTTTGGATTTTTTGTTTTGTTTGGTTTATGAATAAGAGCCTCTGAATGAGGACTTGGTCCTATCTTTTGACCAACAACAATAATTAATATTTGTGTACTTATCAGTATGATATTTAAAACCATTTTTTGTTATAATATTTGGTTTTTGTTTTTCCTATTTGATTTCAGTTTTTGTAAGTATTGTGTTTGGGTTTGTTTAGTACTAGAATTGTGTTAAGTTAGCATAAACTGTATAAATTAAAGGATCGAACTTAAGAATAGAAGAAATTTATCACATAAAAATTGTGCCACATAAAGGGTACTTCCTCAACTCAATTATATATAAGCTAGATCCAATCATTTTCTTGTAAGATGAATTGAAATATTTTTTTAGTTATTACAGTTTGACAATATATCCATGTAAGTAGTTCTTATGCACTATCAGCGCTTAACTCTTAAAATATAAAACATTGACAAACATTTTCAAAGATTGATATTGTATTACTAGAAACTGTATATACAATTAGAGACTTATAATATACACTATCTTTTTATTATTTTTTTGTCAACCCCAAACATTATCCGAATTTGAAACATTGATGATATATTGTCGACGATAGATGTAAATTACTAATACAAAAAAAAATATATAACTAGGAATCATATTTCAATAACTGTAATAGCCTTTCTCGATATTGGCTACCATGTCCACGAACCCATTCTTGCGTACTGGCGTGTTAGATAAGCATTTACGAAGATTAAACCTCCTTAACATGCATTTAGCCAGCTTAAACCGTAGATAAACAAACATACCACCTAGCGTCAAGCTAGCGATAGCAAGAATGGTAAAGAATAACCATCTGGGTTCTCCAAAGTGTGGTAATGTAACCGATGCCGCAGAGACATAAGCATTTCCCATGGCTGCTACAGCTACCCACATCATCCAATGTGCTATAACCAAGAACTTCAAAAGTGAATCCTCCGTGTATGGTATAATGCTGACGAGAAGAATCACCATACACACTGATGTAAACAATGCAATGCTGTTGCATATCGAGAAGAGCATGAAAGCAAAGGTTCTTCCCACAGTAGATTTCCCTATGACGTCTCCTCCTTGATGGACACCACCAGGTGGGTTTATACCGCACGTGAAAGCAACGGATGCGATCAAGGACCCGACAATGGTGAGTGTATTCCTTGCGTTTTGCAAAGCCTCCAGTTGCATGTCAGCTAGTTTCTTTGGATCAATACTTTGAACTCTTTGCATCTCCTTCAGGAGCTTGTTCACATCATGGGTTATTTGGTTTTCAGAATTTCTATTTTCTCTAGGACTTGAAGGGCGTTCAATAACTACTTCCGGAACACACATCAGAGCGGTAGATAGTTGAAGGAAATCTTTATCATCTTTGTTGAGAAGGTCAAACGCTACAAAACCCTTCTTGTTCTTGGCGGAGACTTCTATTTGTGTTTCCTCAGTTATATATTTAACCAGCTGTAATATATATGTCCAAATGGAATTTGTTAATTATATGTACAACAAAAATGCTTACAACTTTCAATTTTCAAATTAAATAAATTTTCATGAAAATATTATTTTAAATGCATTTAGTTAGTACTTCACTCATTTCATAGTTTTAAAATTACATAATGATTATCTGTATTTTTACTCAGTAAATCAAGATAGTGTTACCAAGAAGTGATGGAAGATGATCGGTAGAAAAATGAAAGCAATTTCAAAGTTCAGAAGAGATTTATAAATGAAAGAAAACTTTGTTTTATAACCAAAAAAATATATAGTCCAAATGTTTTTGTCTACGCACCCCAAAAAGAAAATATAAAAAAAAACGAAAAATGAAAACAAGAAAGATAGAGAAAACTTACGGGAAGAGAGCTTACGGAGGCGGCAACGTGAAGGACAGTGTTGCCCTCGACATCGAGCTGGTAGAGAAGCTGGCCTAAGTTGACACTCTTTGCCATGAAGATGAAAGCTTCGCTCTTCTTGTGTCTCGCAGCTATATGAAACACCGTTTCGTTCTTTTCTAATGTGACTGAGTTGAAAGAAGAAGGAACCTTTTCAATAAATTCCCTAAGAATTTCAACTGAACCCTCCATTGCCGCCCAATGCGAAGGTGTCATCAAGCCATCCTTATTCATCATTTCTGAAAGTTTTGGATCATCTAGAGTTTCTGTCTTGCATGCTGTATGCAATTTCATGGACTCTAACATCCCAATCAAGAAGCTTGTGTAGTGTCTCAAGCTAGCAGAAATTGGTAGAGGAGTGTCACATGTGGAGTTGGTGGAATTGACTAGGGAAGGGCAGAGCTCGATCTTCTTATTTGCATGTACCTTGGCCCCTAGATGCGTGGCTTGGTGCGAATCCGTTCCCTCGTATGTTTCCTCCAACATAGAAAGATTCTCTTCTACGAGCCGAGGAAGACTAGCCATGTCGTTTCTGATGAAACTTCGTGGAGCCTTCTTTAGTTTCAAGTGACTTTAGGAATCTTTTGGTCTTTGGATCTATTTGAAATATTAGATCAATTTGTATTTGTTGTTCCAAGTTAGTTAGTGGTTCCTTTATATACTACTCTCTAAAGTCAGCCATGCTCTCTTCGTCAAAGATTTTATATAATGAAAATTTGGACCATTTCTCAGTTGATACGTGACATCCCTGCATAAAGTCATGTTCGAACTCTAATAATGATATGTAGAAGTTAGTACTCTTTTAGGGTCAACTATTAAACAAACTTGTAGATCTTGTCAAACACTCTCAAGTCTAAGCTATATATTAGTTTATAGCTTATGTCACTTTATATATATCACATATCATCTGTTCACACTTTGATTATCTACGTGAAGGAAACTCTATCCTACACTTCTGACTATTAATTATGATGATACAGTACTGTACTTAGAGGTTGTGGAAAATTTAATTTAATTGTAGAGATCATAAAATGATTTAAAATTAGTTGCATGATAGCCATATATATGATTTTGTAAATGATGTGAGTAAGCATTTGGTCAATTAATGCCAATACAATATTAAGTGTAGACATGGAATTACTTGTGTACACATAGAATTGTATATTGTGTAAGATTGAAAAAAAATAAATATGTCAAAGGTACATATGTTATTTTATATATTTTCAAATATCATATACACTTCGAACTTTTTTTTATTATTTAATTTATTTTTGAATTTATTTATCATAAGATCCGTTTGAACCGTTTGAAGATCATGATTTCATATAAAGTAATTTGCAATAACGATATAATAGTCCTTTTACAAAAAAGTGAAAAAATAGGATTTGAAAAGAAAAAAACAAATTGGGTAATTTCAAACTTTTAAATGTAGAAAGGGTAATTTACAAAACAAACCCATAAATGAATGGCTATTGTGTAATTAAAACAGTAAGCAATCACAATATCGATACCTTTAAATTTCATACTACAAGCAAAACAGAGGTACACGATAAAAAAGAAACAGAGCCTTCTTTGAAACGTCGATCGAAATCACGAATCTCAGACTTCTCCATCTTCTTCTCTCATTACCTTTTTTTCTCAAGAAGGATCCAGGAAGAAGATCACAGTCATTGAAAATGGAGTTGCCACCTGAAGTTCTCATCGAGAAAATCTCTTACTTGCCCTTCAAGCAAGCTGCACGATTGAGCCTCGTCGCGAAGCGTTGGAGGAATCTTTATCGGGAAATGAAGAACATCGTCTTCAAAGAATCCGATTTCGCGAAAGACCTCTTCTCATACGACACAGGCACAACGCACGAGAGAGTTTCCTTTGTTCATCGTATGGAGCAATGGATCTCGAGATTCCCCGGTAACTCCATCAACAGATTCGAAATTTATTTCCCCGCACCATACGGTTTCCAGGAAACGATCGCTTCTCTCGTCGACATGGTACTCTCCAAACAAGTCAAGATCCTGGTTCTTGATTTCTCGCACCCTGAAACCAGTATTCACTATCACGTCGCCGACGTCGTTTTGCCTGGTTGCGTCTACGATCAAACAACAACAATCGAGTCGCTGAAGCTCATCTCTTGCTCCCTCGATTCCTCCAAGTTCAAGAACTCGACGGTGCTAAGAAGCCTCACGATTGGTCGACTCGATCTCAAAGATGTCACGATCATGCTCTCAAATTTTCCTTCGCTCGAGTGCCTGAGATTCGTAAACTGCTTGAGCCTTGACTACTACGTTATGTTCACGCTGAACCAGCGATTAAGAGAATTGGTCTTTGAAGATTGCGACTTCTCTCCGTCGTATTGCACGTTGGAGCTGCCTCAGGTAGTGATCGTCAAGTGTTCGGGGAATCTTCCTTGTTTCACCTTCCATGGAGTTGTTAGCGAGAGGATGCAAGAAGCCGAGTTAGATTTCTGGTTAGAAGGAGCAAGCGTTTATAGAACTGAAGTAGATCTTGGTAAGCTCTTAAACGGAGTTTCTCATGCCAAAACCCTAACAATTTGCTCTTTTGCCCTTCAGGTACGTATATCTTTATTGTTTATTTTGACATTATAGAGATGATAACGTACATTGCAAGTTTCTTATGACTCTTCTTGTTTTTTATTTGTTGGGGAAGGTGATTCCATGTGACGATGGCGGATTGTTATCTAGTTTCGGAACACGGCATTTAGTGATGAGAACGAATCTTCATCCGTATGAGCTCACTGGGATTAGTCTCATGATCCATAAATGTCCTCTCTTGGAGTCTCTCACGCTGCAAATCGTTCCTCCAAAACTAATGGAGGTGGTTATTTTTATGTATTTGATTCATAAATGGATTTTTTGTGTTTGTTTTTGAAGTATTGATGATCACTTTGATATGTTGCAGGTTTTGTTACCAAAGGAGTTTAACGCAGATACGTATTGGCTCGACGAGATTACGCACGAGTGCTTGGAGAAGACGCTAAAGGTCGTTGTGGTGAGGGGTTTTGGTAACTTGTACGAGTTACAAATACTGACCTACTTGGTTAAGCATGGGCTTGTGTTGGAACGGCTTGACCTTTACATGAGCGAAGATGAGATGCTTCGAGTACAGATGGCTCTGCTGAATGTCCCGAGAGGTTCGAGCCGCTTACAAATCACTCTACACAACGCTTGAATGGAGCCATCTTAATTATGCTTGTGTTTTTACTTTTTAGTTTGAACTACGTAGTTACTGGATTTATTTTGACTAGCTAGGGAAAAAGAATATGTGGAGTTCGAAGTTTCATGTAATTGTTGGATTGGATGAAACAGCATTTATATTTATGGACTAATTTCGTTTTTTCTTGCTTAAGTTATAACTTGTAACGATCCATTTTAGATGCCACGTGGAACAATGCGTCTTAACCACATTGTGTTTCAAGTTTCAACTGTGTTTTATTAAAACTAAAGGATGTTAACTGACCTTTAATTTCAATTAATACTGTCATTGCGTGAGAGAGAGAAAAAAAAAAATTTCCAAATATGAAAGATCTTGCCTGCAACATTAATACATTGTCTCCTTATAAATCCAAAAACCGCTATGATCTAAGCAGAGAGTTGGAGAAATAAACGAGAGGATGCAAGAAGCTTTATTGGATTTTCGGTTAGTAGGAGAAAGCGTTAGTAGAACCAATGGAGATCTTGGTAAGCTCTTAAACGGAGTTTCTCCAGCTAAAAACCCGAACAGTTTTGCTCTATCGGTAAAACCTTTAAAAGGGTTATTAACAATTTTTAATAATAATATTTCTATCACCCTCTTCTAAAAACTAAAGATGGAGATCTTAATTTTTTTGCTCTCCCATCGGTATAACCTTGAATAGGGTTTTAAAAAAATATATATATATATTATTAAAAATAATTATATTACAAATGCAACTTCAAAGTAACTAACCAATATAATCATGTCTCAAAGACAATAACCAAGTAACCAAACCAATGTAATCATGCCTCAAAGATGTTGAATGATTTTCACAAGATAGACGTTATTATACAGCTTGGCTATGCAGGGAAAACATTCGTCGTGGTAGAAAACCCAAAAGAAGACAAAGGAAAGCAACAAACCTGTGTACCTAGATCACCAATTGCCAATCGAGCGTGTGAGAAAAATGGAAGGAGCCAAGTCAAATAAGGCCAACAGATGCTTACTTGAAGTGAAAAAATAACACAAATAGCCAAAAAATCTAACCTAATGTCAGTGTTTTCCTTCTCTGTTTTCAACTCCAGTTCTATGTTCAGCAAGAGAATTTTGGGGTTAAGAAACTTCTTTGGCTGTTGTTCAAAACCAGCAT